AAATATTGTGATAAATTAAGTGGAGGAAGTTTATTTTTTTCTTAAGGAAAAGGGTTTATGACTATGTTAACAAGAATATATTATTTATTTTTATAGTTCACTAGCATCTACATAAATATATTATGTTTAAAGTAATCTATTGTCACAGCCAATTTGTGATTAAATATAAGCTACTTTAAACACTGCCCTTTATTTTATTTTAGTTTATAATAAAAATTATCAGTCTTTTGAGTGAGAAGGAGAGTGCGAATTGGCTTGAAGCACTTTTTGGCAAAGTGCTTTAATAGTGGGCTGATTAAGATATTCAGCCTCTTTCAAAATCCTACGAATATCTCCCATCCTTTTATGCTTTACAGCCAAAAGGTAGGCACTTTTTAATTGCTTTGTTTCAATATAAGCAGATATCTAAAATAATAAGTTACTGAAACATTTAAAAATGGACTTACTGTTCACTATAAGAAAATAACAAATAGTAAAATAAGATACTCAGGTTAGAGAATCCAAGAGCAAAATTAAAAAATTTTTTGAAGGACACATTTTTGTGTGTCATTAAAGTAGAATTTTGTTTAAAATGTATGTTCTGAATTCTAAAAACAATAGCGCAGCATAAAACATCTAACAAAAGTATTAAAAAAAGAGACAAAATGTGGCACAAACCTTTGCGTTGCGGTCAGTTACTAATTTAATAAGACCGTCTAGTTGGGGGCCCGTAGTGTTGGCCTTGGTGAGGGTTTGAATCGCCAGGATAAGCATTTCATCACACATAGCAATAATGGTTGAGTCACTGACACCACTAGATCTGATGCAATTAACTAATTGCGCCAATCCAATGTACCGTTCTGCTTTGGCCAACTGTTTACCAGATTGACAATAAACTTTAACCGGATTTAATTTGTAATCTTGAATGATTCTAGAAAGAGAAATGATTTCCATTTAAATATGTGTTCATATAACTTAAAAAATAAATCAAACTGATACCACATTTTCTTTTTATATTGAGACTGTTGGTTAAATCTGTTAATAATAACCTTTACTAATGATAAATTTTTACCTGAATGCAATTCCAAAACCATCTTCAACATTACTTCCACAAATTATACAAAGCACAGCCAATTGAACTTTTTCATAATAAGAACCAAAAAGGGTCGGAATGTAACCTTTGGATTCCACAGTTTCTAAAAATATTAAAATGATATAATAGGAGTAATAATTCTTGTGATGAGAGCAGTTTCTTCAGATCAATTATTTGAGAAAATTTATTTTCATGCAGATAGTAATAGATGATAAAGTTTTTGAAAGTAATCAGTACTAACATACACAAAGCATGTCGGGTATTTACAAAAAGATACAATAATAATTATCTTTAAAGGATAAATAAAACAAAATACCTTTGTTTGCAAAAGGTAGTATTTCTGGCAGAAGTTTCATTACTTCTATGCCGTTTGTTTCACATTCAGCTAAAAATTTTGTCACCTCCATTTGTCGCCAAATAGTATTTATATGGCGATCGATACTTTTAGAATCGATTTTCATCACCAACGACGGGTTTGTTATACTCTTTGCCTCAAAACTGTGTTGTGAAGCGGAACTCGATTTTCGCACTGGAAAAAATTATCTTTGAAAAAAAATAACGAATAGGTAATTTTTGTATTTAATTTGTGCAGTTTCTGAATTTAAAATTACACGACAATTAGTAGGTAAGTGACTATAATATCAATTTACCTGTGGCAACTTCGACCCACTGTTCTTGTTCTAATTCCTGCTTCAAGTGATCCTGTGCTTTTTGGAGAAATCCCATTCTCGACTTTAATTCTATGTACGATCTTGCATCGGCCTTATAGAACTTAATGGAGGTCATAGCAGCCCTTACATAGTCTCCCATAAATTGTTGTAGTTGATACAATGAATGTAACATTGATTGTTGTTCAAAATATCTACAGATATGTCTCAGATAATTCTAGAAGGAATACTTTATTTTATAAATAGTTTATAAGCAGATATCACATGTTAACAGCTGTAAATTGTGCTTAAAACAAAGGGTAAAAAATCTACAAAAGCTCCTACAAACGTATATTTAAATTTAAATAATTAAATTGTTTTGATATATTATTTATTTACTTTTTTGGTATAGAAAAATAAACGTACCTTCCACACATCCAGTGTTGAATCTAATTTGGACATTTTTTCGAGAAAAACGTAAATGTTCCCATCTTTCAAACACAAAGTATAAACTTCTATAAAAATTTCAGGTGCCAGCCGATAGTCCAAAATGTATTGTAATGCTTCTTCAATTTCGTCATGTCTTATGTAGAATTCTAAGAGACTAATATGTGATCCGTATCGAAATAAATAATAAACACACTCGTCATAAAAAAGAGGATTTAAAAGAGACTTCTTAATTCCTAAATCAATGGATTTTAATGAGATATTAGATTCAAATATATCGCCATAATTTCCATCAATTAGTTTGCCTAAATTTTGCAATTTACTTAATATACAAATTGGGGCATCAATTTGAGTGGAAACGCAAGTTGTATTGCTGCTGTTTAAGCTTACAGTAGATGAGATCAACTGGTTGTGTTTTGCACCGACACAATCTTTTAACACAGTTGAATCAAACCTACAACTATTTCCTTCCAATATTTGAATGATTTCGTTCAAAAGAGGTGGATTTCTACTCGGTTTATTATCGTAATTACTCCCTGAAATGGTGTATGTCTTTTTCCTACTTCCCAAACTTTCATTAAAACTGCACGAAAAATCCAAAGAATTTTCATAGTAACTTGTCTTATCAAAACATCTCTGGAACTTTTCCCTAGCTATTTTTAGACTTCCTGCTTTCAAACAACTTTTTCCCCATGCAGCAAAAACACCTATAAAAAAGTAAACAATTTTAAAAAATCCATTCACAATTTTGTCGCTTTTTGTAGAAATTTATTAATTGTGAATTCATTTATGTTTAACAAAATCTTTTTAATTAATGACATTTAGCCACTGAACCCATGGTGTGATGATGAAAGCAAACGAATTCCAAATCGTGAACGCAGCTTGGTAGTTTCAACAAAATGCTCACTAAAGACGTTAGTTCTGTTTAATTAATTATTTACCTGTGTTATCTAATCCAGCTTTGGTAGAGACTTCAAGGGCAAGATTCCATTGTTCATCTTCAAGAAGTTTATCTCTTAGTCTACGGATTGTGGAGCTGTCTATGTAGGGGGTCTGAGGGTTAATAGAAGTGGAAGAAATTAAACGTAAACAACCTCGGTCAATTAACAGTTCTAATAGCTCTGCTTGAGAAAGTATTCGATCTGCTAAAGCACTGCCCTCATGCCCACTGTAGAATGATTGCATTTTAGCTGCTATTGCCAACGATCTAAGAAAAAATAATCATTTTATAGGGACAAATATTATCACAAAGACTAATTTTAACATTAAGTTCTGTTTAAATGAAATAAAAAGTCAACAATTTAAAATATATATAATATAGACATATGTATGACTTACTTCAACATTTTAATCACTAAAAAGTAGTCTATCTCTTGAGTAACTTCAGTTGGAATAGGATACAGCAATTTTAGCAATTTATGACACTGGTCCAACAAAAATCTTAAATAAATAAAATTAAAATGCCGAAAGATATTTAATCATATTTTTCTGAATACTTTACTTTGTATATTCATCACTTGGAGAATGGTACTTTAATATAGCCAGACACAAGTAAACACTTGGTGCATGTTCAAAGGAAAACTCATTTCTGACATACTTATTCTGAGATTCATTATCAGTTAGTTGCCAATAATCATAATCAATAGATTTTACAGAGGCTATAGAATAATTTGACGGACTATCATAAAATGTTTGCTGGTAACAATCTTTACAGACTCTGACTCTAATGTCTCCATAAGTTGGAACCTTGATAATTTTAAAAGTATAATATTTTTAAAAGAAAGTAAGTATTAATATCTTACTGGCATACGTTTTGTTGAGCAACTTCCACAAATGACCCTTCCACATCTTCGACAGTGATGACGACGATTAAACATGGAAAATGCTGTTTCTGAACAACACATACATTCCGACACCTAAAATAAGCATACAAAATAACATCAAGGACTTTTAGAACATTTAAACTTACTTCTTCATTTTTAACCCATTCTGATTTACTAGGGACATCATCTGGCATAAGAAAGTCACGTTTATTCGTTCCAAATTGCGAAGAATCCATAGATTCCATCAATTTGTTTTCTGAAAATGTTGCTGGGGATTTTGACTGTATAACAACTCTAAAGTCCAAGCTTTTCTCCGCGTATATTCTCAATAATTCATCGATTCTTTTCCAGGAAATTTTATCTTCTGGACTGCATTCGTTCACACTTTGTTGTATAGCCCTGATTACTTGACCCAATTTTTCCAACATTGTGTTCATTATTAAGATCTCAATCATGCACAACGGATCTCTAATTAAACACCAAAACTGCTCTCGTTCGGATTCATCAAAGCACGATAAAATTTTCAAACTGATGTTGATATTTTTTATCATTTCGGACGAGTCGTCAATATTCGACAAATGACTCATTAAAAATTCCAAATGTTCTAATTTACGAACGTAATCCAACAACTTTATAAATAAATTTTTCGCGTACTTAGGGGGAAACATTTCGAAAATTTCTTTAATCTTTTTAAAGTCTGTTTCGTATATGAACAACTTAGAAAAATAATTTTCTGTTAAAATGACCAAAACTTCTTCTTGTGGTTTGTAAATTTTTAGGAATTTCAGAAGTAAATCGATCTGTAAAAGAATAGCATTTGTGTTTTACATTAATCTTAATCTTAATTTAAATACATTTTTACCTTTGATGGTGTTAGTAATTGTCGTAAAACAAATTCTTGAGATGTTTCGCACAGCTGGAAGACATCGGACCAAAACATTTGAAAGTAAAAATTCAACTAAAAAATAAATAAAAAATAAACGTATTAAAATTACATGTGCATTATAAACTTACCTGTTCACAAATATCGATTTTTTCACACCAACTTTCAAAATCGTCTAGTATATCACAATCATCCTGTTTGTACATTGAAATTTCATTTTTCATTACCTCAATACAAAAACGTCCTGGCCAATGTTTAAAGTTATTTTTAATGCAATTCTGACGTAAACGATCTTCTTTTATGTACTTAACGTACTCGTAACTGTTAGGCTCAAATTTGTCACTTACTAAATTAAAGAGAATGTTATCCCTAAGGCATGCAAGATTTGCATTTTCTTTAAGCTGCCTCTCTGTCAAGCTCTGGAGGATATTAAATAAATATTTCCAATCAGTATTTTTTAATTTCCCTTCCATAATCTCCTCCCCTGTTTCCAGACTTTCTGTGCTTAGTTGAGAGCTCAATAAATTGAAGTCGTTATTATTCACAATTCTCTTGTTACAAAAATGTTCGACTAATTTTTGATCTACTTTATTATAAAGAACGGTTAGATGTTGATTATTTTCAAAAACCACTTTAAGATACTGTATCCTGTCAAGACTCGTAAAGTTGGTATAATTTTTTATACGTACTTCGCTAATTTCGAATTCAGTATTCTCAACAGAATGAATATTTTTTATTAAATAAGCTAAAAGCCAGTTTCTTTTTTGTATATATGCAATAGTTGCTTTGTCAGGTTTACTTAACGTATTTTCTGTAGAAACTGCTTTGTCACATTCAGCAGAAATATGTATTTGAGGAAAATAACTAGCAGCTACATGGTACACAACATCGAGTTTCATTTTTGTAAAAGATCTTTCAAAATCACAAGGTTCTAAGTTCATATCGCAGATTAATTTATATATTATATCAACCCGCCGGTGTTTCAATAAATCGAACAAGTTCGGATTTTTACCCAAAATCGCGGTCTCAAATCTGTTTTGGTTTACATGGAATACTCTGAAGAAAGCTTTCAGATAATTTAACAATCTTGTTAAGTATTTTAAATGTTGTTCATTTGGTGTATTCTGTAGACAAAGAGTTTGTATTTGTAAAAAACATTTATACAACTCTTTCGTATCTAACTTAGAATTTGAAGCGTTAATATTAACATACTGAAGAAATGTCTCTGCTGCACTGGATAATTTTGAAAAAGTTTCTAACTCGTCAATGTATTTTTTAACATCCAGATCTATTTCAGATGCTAGTAAAATTTGTCTAACAGAAAATAGCTGCTGTCCGTTGTTCACTAAATGAAAAATTTCCAATAAAGTCTTGCAAAATTCTGAATATGGAGAGACAACATCAGGATTTAATGTATTATGTGACACTGCAACATTCAAAAGTTCTTCAGTGCCTTCGTGGTTGTCTGGTTGAATCACAGCCAAGTCCAAAATGTTCATAAATTTATTATTTTTTGAATTTAGGTGTTGTAATGCAGAATTTGTATTTTCAACAGACAATGATGTTAAGTGTCCAAGGTTTTCATTTAAGTGAAAAAAATTGTTTACCAGCTCACTAACATTGGACTCATTAGAAAGCTGCTGCTTCTTCATCAATATTTTTCTTCTCAATGTTTGTTCTAGATGTTCTTTAAAATCACATAATTTTTCAACAAAGAAGATCTCTTTAGCAAGATCAGTATCTTGTAAAGAAAACACCTAAAAAAAAACAAAATTAAAATAAATTATTAAAAACAATATATAATAAAAAAACAAATTTATTTCTTCTAAAGGAAAATTCATTTCTGACATACTTAATCTGAGTTTCAATATGAGTTACTATCAACTTATTCGTATTTTCGAAATTTTCACTTGATTATTAAGAGTAAATTATGCATATAAATAAGTTAGGAGATAGTTACAAAGCGAAGGGTGTTGGTTTTCAATAATAAATCGTTTACAGCCCTAATTAGCTTAGATTTGTTTTTCGTTAGTTACCCGATAAAACATGTGATAAAAGTAACAAGCTGTCAAATTAAAATGATGATGATCTATCGCACTATGAATTATCATAACTTATTAACGATTAGTACAATTTTATTGCAAACCATGGACTTTATTGACTCGTTTTGGCCCCTTGCGTATGATGTAGATTTATATGAAAACGAAACGTTTGAAATAGCAGAGGACATAGCCAGCGATATGAAAAGTTTAACTGGCGATGAAGATGAGATGATTCGCCAGATTGAAATAAAATTATTGGGCTTTACACAAAATTCTAATCAGTATTATTTTTTGCATCGATTAATAAAAAGAAACAATAAAAAGTTAAAAAAGTTTAAATATAAAATGGATAACACTACAGAAAATCAACAAATAATTGTTAAAACAGAAGAAGTTACTGAACCGAATTACATCCTAGATGATTCTCAACCATGGATTGGTGGTTTTGTGGATAAAGAAGGTCACCTAAAATCTGTAAGTTTAAATGTAATAAAAAAAGGGGGGACAAGCTCAATTAGTTTTGTCTTCTTTACTTTTACAAAAGAATAAAGTAATAATAAGTCAGCAAAATGATACTGAAAGAATAATTTCGAAAAGGGACGACTTATTAAAATTGGAAGATACAAAAACTTTTGAGGAACAACCTTTTTATGATTATCAAGTTCTTAAGAATGAGTACAAGGATGAAATGGAAAAAGAAAAGAAAACAAATCAAACATTTAATTACACAGAAATTAAAGAAGATGAAACAATGAAAGAAGCAGCTAAATCAATGATAGAATTTAAAAAGCCAAAAAATTGTACAAATGAAGAACAAATGGGCATTGGTAACTTTTGAAATGTAATGCATAGGTGGTAACGTATGTAAATTTTTCCCTCTTAAGGCTATGGAACTTTAGTGTGTTTTCTTCAAGATTTAAAAGGGCCAGAATCACGCAAAACAGTAACTTTACTTACATATCGAATTACGCAAATTTTAATCGTTTTATTAATATTATATATGGTGATTGCATTTCCTTGTTGGTGTCAAAGAGGTACATGAAAAATAACAGTTTAATGTTAACAGTTAAATTATTATTTATTAATTTAAAGGATGGTGTTGTTGCTGCTTCAGATGCAAATTTTGTAAACCTGTTTTGCGCATTCACAAAGCAAGACAATTTTTAGCAAAGAATCCTCTTGGCATTTATCACACAAAGGACAATAAAAAGATAGTTTATAAACCAACCTACCAAGAAGAATATGTTTACAAACAATTGCACAAAGCTTTAATGAAGATTTAATGAAATGAATAAAGTTTAGATTTCTTTTTAATTTTAAATTCCTATAATTTGTTAGACTAACACTGTTAGTACATTAAAAAGAATTAAAAAAATTACCTTTATAACTTGATTGGCTTTTCTAAAACTGTTCTGCTTCAAACATATATTAATTAACGACTCTGGAGAAGCAAGCATCCTAGAAATTAAATCCTTCTCTCTAGGTAGATCAGCTAAACTATTTTCTTCTGTTACAATTTCAAACCTCCAGAATGCATCAGTAACGCATTTACTTAGTTCATTTATTCTCTTCACACTTTCTGAATTCCTGTTATACAGATGTTTGGGTTGTATATCTTCAATACAGGTTTTCAAAAATGTCAAAAGCAATCTTATCTCCTTTTCTTGACAAAAGAATGTGTGAGAATCTGATTTCAGGAACATTAACACAAATATGTTTTCTAGAACTATCGTTTGCCATTTTATATCAATTAAACTCATAAGATGTTGTTTGGCCTCTTCAATTTTTGAAGAAATAACATCTTTATGTTTAAAGTGATTACCTTCTGGAATGTTTTTGCACAATTGCAAACTACAAATTACTGTGTAAATGATGATAAAACACTTGAAGGTGGTTATATCAGTTTCATTATTTAAACTTTCTAATTCTGTTAAAATTTTAGGCCACAGGACTGATTCTGTTAAATCCAAACTACTGAAGAAAACATTTAGTAATGAGTTTTGGCAACATAATAACAACAGTTCCTTCAGGTTAATATCTTTCTCAATTATTTTATAAATGTCAACAGTTTTTTTGGCTCTTTTTATAACATCACAGTACAATTTGAAAAAGCCATTACTGCCAGGTAAATCGAAATGAGAAGTGTTTAATTCCTCCAAACTTTTATAGGATGCACAGTTGTTGGTTATGTTGATATTTTGCAATAATCTTATTTTATAAATTATTTTTTCTGAAAATGTACTATGTAATTCCTCATTTTCAATTACTTCTAGTAACCAATGTTTTTCATTTTTTATACTGTAGTTGTAAATGGATACCGGTTCCTTTAAATCCAATACTTGTGGAAATTTCTTAATTAATTCACTCAAAAGACTACAATCTTTTTGGGTCATCAATGTTAAATACAGTAAATCTTTTTGGATTTTTTTTTCCTGAAGCAAGTCACTTATGAATAATACAAGTTCTTCATAATTATTTTCTTCATCAAACATTTCATATTGAATTAAGTCCATCAAGTCAGAACAAAATTCATTATTATCAATATTTCTACTATGGGACCATTTCTTTACAAAATTCATTTTTCTCCCTAAAATATAAACATTGTTAAATGTACATAAAAAATAATTAAAGTAAAACAAACCACCATTTAATGTTGACATAGTATTTATATAAAATTCGTTAAACAAAAAATGTAACGTTTAATACATTACAATTTCGTATGAGCACAACATCATCACAACACGCAAATAAGTTAGCCAAATCATCGTCTGACCTTTTGCCTTTCAATATTAATCACAGATAAGATATTAATTAATAATTCTTTTACATTTTTCTGATAAGTAAAGTTACTAATTTTGCATTATTAACAAGTACTTTTATAATTTCTCCTTCACGTTGGAAGTACTCTAGCCCCGTAACATAAACTATTTAAAAACAAGATGTTACAAATAATATAAAGAACTAAAATGACAGTTATAAATACAAAATTACGGTTCTTAAAAATTTATTTGTATCATTAAACAATAAAGTACAATAGTCTATTTACTCTTCGTTCACTAGTAATACCCGTTCAATAGACAACTGAGTAGTACTTAACGAATTACCAAAATTAAAAAGATCTTTTACGCTCTGAAAGCAGACATTTGTCTGAAGAGTTATTAAGAATGTTCTTTTTTTAATTGGTTCCACACAACACAATAAAAATACTAGAATTACTTATTTGCAATAATAACTTATTTCTAGGTTAGAAGAAAAGATAATAATATATGCTATTCAGCAAGGGTACTAGGGTACCAAAGAAAAAAAAACATTAAAACATGTTTGGAGTAATCAAACCTTTTGCTATCCCTTCAGCCACGACTCTGGTAAAAAGATTCTATGTTAAGAGAAATTCCTCAACCTTGCAAAGTTACTTTCTAAACAACACAACACTCATACTGCTTGAGAATTGTAGTCGAACGTATCGTAGTAAAAGAATTTTATCTACAACTGCAATTAATTATCAAAGTGTAGTAAAGGCACGAGAAATGGTAAGTTCATAATGAAGAAAAATAATTTATACAATTTCCTTTCTCTATTCAATAATCTAAATAGCAGTCATTGATTTTTAAAAAATGTCTATGGTTCAAGTATTAAAAAATGTTCTTAGGCACATAAATTAACTGAAGAAGACAAAACTAAAGCACTAGAGCCCCTATTGCAAAATGGTTGGTCTGTGGTTAACAACAGGGATGCAATTTACAAAGAGTTTATACTCAAGGATTTTAATGAGGTAAATTCAAATGAAAATTCTTTTTACTATTCTTTTTAATAACAATAATTGTTACATATAAGACATTTGTAAATAGTAATAATAGTAAAATTATTAATTTAGAAAGATGAAATATTTAAATTGCAAAGAAAAAAATTACAATATTGAACTGTTGAACTTTTTGATAAGATTGCCTTATCACCTATAATAGTGACCATTACACCGTTAGCATTTTGTCTTTGTTTTGTTCTTAGTAAGATAATGTGTATGTATTTTAATGCAATATATTCAAATTGTTATTAAGCGCTATTAATGTAAACTAACTCAATAAAGTGGTAGTAGTAGTACCACTTTATTATATAAAATGACTAAAACAATTCAAGTATTTTGTGAAATAACTGAGCTGCTCCAGCCAATTTGTATAATATCAAACAGTGATTTGAAATAGTTGACAGTTTGGCTGCATTTTATAAATTGTTTAGGCGTTTTATAAAATGGCTAGCTTGATATTTCGATTAATTTGTAGATATATAATAATGCTTTTGTAATTCTGATGAATTAATTTTCAGGCTTTTGGTTTTATGACTCGCGTAGCACTGCTAGCCGAAAAAATGAATCATCACCCAGAATGGTTCAACGTTTACAACAAAGTTCAAATAACGCTATCTACGCATGATGTTAATGGAATAAGTACAAGAGATATAAAAATGGCCGATTTTATAGAAAAGATAATCGAAATTTACCCTAAATAGGGTTTCACTAAAAAGCTGTACTATTAAATGCTTCCCCAGAATGTTATGACGAACTTCCTCATTAATAAATGTGAATAAGCTGTTTTTTGTTTTTTAATAAATATTGTAGAACATTCCTATTTTATTTGTAGAACATAAAACAATGTTTGTAATAAAGCTATCTATCTATTTACCCATTTTATTTGTACTGGCGTATTCGAAGACTATGAAATAATTTTCATAAAGCAACTTAAGCACTTATGAATGGTACTTTCGGCCATAGATAATCTTTCGGCACTTCTAACTAAATACCATAGATAACTAAATACCTAATTTCATTGCGAACATTTATTAAACTACAAACGAATATAACCTAACTTTACCTTATCTATGATTTACCCACATAACCTATTATTATGTGCATTATGTGTGTGCGGTCGTACTTGTGTACTCTCTATTTATATATAAAATTCACGTTTACGAGTTAAAATGGATATTTACTTGCAGGAAATAATAGACCAATTTAATGATATAACAGGTACTCCAGAAAACTTTCTTAGGTAAGTACGAAATATTTATTTTTGTAAAACAAATGTAAATGCTCTTTTTAGTGTTCATGAAGAAACTTGTAATAAGGCCAAAAGTTTACTTAAAAATATTTACAATTTTACAAAAGATGTAGAATTAAAAGCAGAATATCGAAATAATGCTTTGCCTAAGTTAATGGTGGATGCAGTAGACGTAGAACAAATATGGCAACAAGTTGAACTACAAAACTCAGAAATTTTAAACGAAAACAATATTTTAAATATAAGCAAATTGCTATCGAACAGTGCTTCTTTATTTCATGACGCTTCTTTAGAAAACAAAACAAAGCAAGATATTAATGAAGAACAAACGGACCAAGAAACTGATGAAAATGATGAAGAAGACAGTGAAAGTGATTCTGTAATAAATATTATAAAAAAAAGTGAGCCAGAAAAGTTAAATGTAAATAATAAATCTGCTAATAAGAAAACTGAAGAAATAAGCAAAGAAAGTGATGAAGAAGAAAATAATAGTACTGAAAGCAGTAATGATGAATTTGCAATGTCTAGTGATCATGAAGATTTATCAGCAAAGTTAAATGAAGAATCAGGTGAAGAAAATGAAGAAAGATTTGATGAAAATAAGCCTGAAGTAAATAAAAACGAAAAACATTTTAAAAAGAAATCAGTAGTAGATGATGATTTCTTTAAATTAGATGAAATGGAAAACTTTTTGAATTCAGAAGAACAAAAAATCAATAAATGTAAAACTCTCAGTGGTAATGATGAATATGATAGTACTTCAGATCAAGAGAGTATAGACCTCTTCAAAACTGAAGGGCCTGAAGAATTAGAAGATGAAGAAAATCTACATTTAAAAAATCCACGATTTAAAGATTTCTTTAAAAAACAAGACAAAGAACCAAGAAAAGAGAAAAGAAATAAATTTTTAAAAGATTTGGATGAAAATGTACTAGAGGAAAATGGTCGCAGTGAAAAGATACAAAAGTCGAAATATGAAGAAAGGGATGAAAAGTTAAAGGAAAAAATTAAAGAAATTGAGGAAAAAGCTCTACATGAAAAACCATGGACAATGAAAGGAGAAATAAGCGCTGAAAAAAGACCTCTTAACTCTTTACTGGAAGAAGTTGTAGAATTCGACCATGTCTCTAGACCAGGTCAGACAATTAATTTTTTTATTTTCAATTGTTTCTTACGTAGTTTACAGTAAAAATTTTAACTTTTAAATATATTTTTAGCTCCGATTATTACTGAAGAAGCAGCACAAATGCTAGAAGATGTAATTATGCAGAGAATAAAAGATAAAGCTTTTGATGACGTTGAAAGAAAAAAGCGTCTCATTGAGACTCCATTAGAATACAAGAAAAAATTGGTATTGGAACAGGAAAAAAGTAAAGAGTCCCTGGCGCAAATTTATGAAAAAGAATATTTGCAACAACTAGAAGCTTTAACTGCTGATCCTCTTAAAAATGAAGAAGAACCTGAATTACATAAGGAAATAAAGAGCATGCGACAAATATTGTTTACACAATTAGACTCTTTATCTAACTTCCATTTCACGCCCAAATCTGCCGCTCCTGAACTTAAAATTGTTACGAATTTGCCTGCCATTAGTATGGAAGAAGTAGCACCCGTCGCTGCAAGCGACGCTGCACTATTAGCGCCAGAAGAAGTAAAACGTAAACAAAGGGGAGACTTCAAGAGTAAAGAAGAAAGAACAGCAACCGACAAGAAACGAGAGAGACGCAAAAAGAAGCTAAAACAAAAAATACATGCACAAGAAAAGGATAAACGGAAAGCATTATCTAAACAAAACATAAAACCTAATAAAACTAATAAACAGAAAAAAGGAAATAAAAATGCAATAAAAAGCCAGAATGTAGCTAAGGTAAGTGTTTTTTAATTACATTTAACTGGCATTTAAAATTATCTNAGCCAGAAAAGTTAAATGTAAATAATAAATCTGCTAATAAGAAAACTGAAGAAATAAGCAAAGAAAGTGATGAAGAAGAAAATAATAGTACTGAAAGCAGTAATGATGAATTTGCAATGTCTAGTGATCATGAAGATTTATCAGCAAAGTTAAATGAAGAATCAGGTGAAGAAAATGAAGAAAGATTTGATGAAAATAAGCCTGAAGTAAATAAAAACGAAAAACATTTTAAAAAGAAATCAGTAGTAGATGATGATTTCTTTAAATTAGATGAAATGGAAAACTTTTTGAATTCAGAAGAACAAAAAATCAATAAATGTAAAACTCTCAGTGGTAATGATGAATATGATAGTACTTCAGATCAAGAGAGTATAGACCTCTTCAAAACTGAAGGGCCTGAAGAATTAGAAGATGAAGAAAATCTACATTTAAAAAATCCACGATTTAAAGATTTCTTTAAAAAACAAGACAAAGAACCAAGAAAAGAGAAAAGAAATAAATTTTTAAAAGATTTGGATGAAAATGTACTAGAGGAAAATGGTCGCAGTGAAAAGATACAAAAGTCGAAATATGAAGAAAGGGATGAAAAGTTAAAGGAAAAAATTAAAGAAATTGAGGAAAAAGCTCTACATGAAAAACCATGGACAATGAAAGGAGAAATAAGCGCTGAAAAAAGACCTCTTAACTCTTTACTGGAAGAAGTTGTAGAATTCGACCATGTCTCTAGACCAGGTCAGACAATTAATTTTTTTATTTTCAATTGTTTCTTACGTAGTTTACAGTAAAAATTTTAACTTTTAAATATATTTTTAGCTCCGATTATTACTGAAGAAGCAGCACAAATGCTAGAAGATGTAATTATGCAGAGAATAAAAGATAAAGCTTTTGATGACGTTGAAAGAAAAAAGCGTCTCATTGAGACTCCATTAGAATACAAGAAAAAATTGGTATTGGAACAGGAAAAAAGTAAAGAGTCCCTGGCGCAAATTTATGAAAAAGAATATTTGCAACAACTAGAAGCTTTAACTGCTGATCCTCTTAAAAATGAAGAAGAACCTGAATTACATAAGGAAATAAAGAGCATGCGACAAATATTGTTTACACAATTAGACTCTTTATCTAACTTCCATTTCACGCCCAAATCTGCCGCTCCTGAACTTAAAATTGTTACGAATTTGCCTGCCATTAGTATGGAAGAAGTAGCACCCGTCGCTGCAAGCGACGCTGCACTATTAGCGCCAGAAGAAGTAAAACGTAAACAAAGGGGAGACTTCAAGAGTAAAGAAGAAAGAACAGCAACCGACAAGAAACGAGAGAGACGCAAAAAGAAGCTAAAACAAAAAATACATGCACAAGAAAAGGATAAACGGAAAGCATTATCTAAACAAAACATAAAACCTAATAAAACTAATAAACAGAAAAAAGGAAATAAAAATGCAATAAAAAGCCAGAATGTAGCTAAGGTAAGTGTTTTTTAATTACATTTAACTGGCATTTAAAATTATCTGTTTTAGATGAACGAGTCACTTTCCGAATTAAAATCTGTTAAATCATCTCAAGCATTTTTTGACAAACTTCAAGATCAAATAAAAACACAAATTAATGGAAAAATAAAAGGAAAACGGTCCCAGAAAACGAAACAAAATTTTGACGCTAAAAGAATAAAACTGTAATATTTTTATAGTTTATGTAATAATTACCCTTCGTTATGAAGAATGAATTTTGTATTTTATGTTTAATAGAGAAAATATTTTATAAGTCCGACAACTATTTATTATACAAAACTGGTCTATATACCGGAAGTTGTACAAATTTACAATTAAGAAAAAAGTAATATGTATATTTTGAGTCGCAAAAAGGCAAAAAGAAACTTAACAAGTATATTTTGATAAGAAATAAACCATTTTTGATATTCCAGTTTTAAGTTAAATTATTAAATGTTTCACATACATTTCATATGAAATTCCGTATATAATTGTACTGTCAGTTTAGTTGAGGGTAGTAAGAAAATTGTAATAAACAAAAATACATTTATTCAGAAACCTAATAAGTGGTAAACAAAATTATCTACTTCTTTTACCTTTAAATGAGGGCGCTCCTGAAGGAATAGGCAATTTTAGAGCACAATTCGATTTTCCAACTGAAGTTAAGCCGAGATATCGGGCGACTTCTTGCAGAGCCTTTACTGACATTCGAATTTCTTTTCCCAGACTTTCTAAATCCAATTTATAATTGCAAGCAAGAATACAGAGAACTACTATATACCAAATTGTCTTGTCTCTCATTGACCTTGAACGAGCTCTAAAATAAAAAAAAAAATTAAAGCTGCCTTTCACTTGTTTTACTAATTTTTTTTTATTTCTTACAGATAAATTTCAAAATAATTCATTACCTTTTGTTATTAACTTTACTAGTATACTTTGACAATACATCCTCATTTACAATTTCAGAATAAGGACAAGCCTTAAAATCCCTTTTGATTAAATCTTTTATAGAGCACTTCAAACAATGAATGAGGCAATCTGTATATAAGAAAATTTTACACTTTATTAAGGCATCATCCGGTCGTAATTGCTTTAGATCTGCAATCCTTTCAGTTATAAAGGCACATGTTCTGCAAAAATGAAATTATGTAAATATAATAACTCAAACTTTGGTGTTTGCACCAACATACTCAGGTTTATTAACTTCATTGTCTAAGATATTCTTTGATACTTCAGTTAACGAGTTCAAGACATCTGTTGAGATTAAATTTTCAAGAATATAAACATCTTTAATTTGTGATGCCTTTCTATTTATTGGAGGGCGAAATTCAAAGTTTTCTTTGTTACTAGCAATCAATTCGTCATCATTTACCTCTATATCTAAGAAATATTGGATTTAAGTTTTTTATTTTTTTTTATTTAAGTACTAGATTATACTTGCAACAGCCTCTTGTAACTGATCCTTTGCATTTTCAATATTTAATGTCATTTGCTCCCGTTGTTTAATAGCTACTTTAGCGCGTTTAGATCCAAACTGTTTATTAAGTTCATATAAAGAGTTTTCTTTGGAAACTTCTTCACCGTTGTCACATTCATCTGTTCGTCTTTTTTTAGGCATAAATGGTCTCAAGGTGCATGTATTTGTTATAAACATTGATACCTATAACAAACACCTTAATGTTTTACAATATTTACATTTTTTAAATTTTGCAATACCTTTTTTGAGTTTTTCTTATGAAGTAATAACAAGTTTTCGTAAAGATCATCTTCCTCAATTCTTCCATAATAAACCATGTGCTCAGTAGCAATAGCTAGTATTTTTTCTTTGTTTATACCTTCATACAATCGACAAGTAAATGCATGCTCCTGGTTTGGTTTCAAAATACCATTTTCAAACCGTACTATATAATAGAAGCAAAAACTATGACGATTGATATAGAGAAAAATTAGAATATACTCGACTCTATACATTATTTTTAGATAACTTTATCCAAATTTAATTCAATAAGAATATAAAAACTTACTTAAAACAGGAGGCTCGAATTCGGGATCAACTTTATCTTTAAATTTATACATATTCCAATGCTTTTAAAAATTGGGTTTCACGATATTTATAAGTAATCACCTATTCGTTACATAATAAACAAAATTATATTAAAACACTGTATAAATGTATAAATTATTATCTTGTTCTTTAATTTTTTTGTAGGTTAAAGTATGGTTAACATTATATAGTCATAGATAATAGACAAAGTTGTGGTCAACGAAAGAAAGAGATGGAACGAAGTTTTGGACAATATCCATCTCTTTCACGATAGTGCGTAAGCGCGTCATGAAAAAGATAGCATTAGTCAGAAACCATACGCCATCTCCATCACTTTTCAAGCCAAGGAATTATTACAATGACATACGGCTAAGGCACATCCATTAATATATATCTATGGTTGCAATCTTGTAATGCACTATGGTAATCATAGACATAGATAATCATAGACTAAATGGCAATGCAGTGAATGCTATATTACTTATTTGGCAAATTTTAATATTTAACGAAGTTTAACAAAAAGTATTTATTAATATATTGAGTTATTGTGAATATTTTGTTGTGACATTCCTGACAGTCATCAATAATGCCTATAACAGATCGAAAATAAGAAAAAATAATGACATTGATAAAAATAAACAATACACTACTATGCTCCTATAATGTAAAAAAGAAGAAATATTAATAGTGCTATGTTAATACCGGGAATTAAAGTTCAAGGAGTTTTTATTTTGCAGTTTTTTTTGGGGGTACTGTTTAAATACAAAAGGAGTTTAAGGACATTGTGTTATTAATTACAAATGTGTTGTTAAATTATCACCGTGGTAACAATTTTTCATATTAATTCTAACAATGGGGGAACCTGCTTTAAGTGTAAACCTAGTACTTGATAAGAAAGTTATGAGTATTTCTTACTCAGCAACAACAACTGCTGAAGATGTGTGTACTACAGTTTGTAAAAAGCTGAGCATTGGTCCAGTGGCAAGACACTTATTTGCTCTCAGAGTCAAAGACAAACAGATTTTCTTAATGCCCTCTGCTACATTTACAGAGAAAAATCCGTCTTATGACTTGAGAATTCGTTTCAAACCTGCAAGCTTGGATAAATTAAAGAAAATAGATATTAATGCATATAATTATTATTTTCATCAAGCACGTAATGACTTGCTAGAAAACAAAATTCCTGACATTGTATTTGACAAATGCAGAAGAGAATTGGTTGGCTTAGGGGTCACTGATATGTATAGAGTTATGTTAGAGAAGGACATAACCAAAGAGATCGTTGAAAATGATTATAGAAAATATATGCCTAAAGAAGTGATCAAAAGGCATTCATTTTTTGTTAAAAAACCTGTAAAAGATACTTTAGAGAAAATAAGGCGGTCTGGGCATGATGCATGGTAAGATATCAAGTTTGTCAATGAATAATTTTCTTTTACTCATAATAATTGTAATGTTTCTTATTTAACTAAAGGTATGTAAAATCTGAATATTTGAAGCAGTTGGATAATATTGCTCCTGAATATTTGTGTGAAGAATATAAAGCTTTAAATGACAGAGATGGATCTATATACAGTGTATTTGTTCGAGTATCACCTTACCACCCCACAGACCCTGGAATTAGAATCTGTTTGGAATCAAGGAAGGATGTAAGCAGTTTTTATTACTCATTTTTTTAATTTTTTTATCTCAACAATTTAATTTTTAAGCAATGGGAACAAATTTGTAAAATTGAAGATTTGTGTCATATTTCAATAAGAAAAGATGGTACTGTAGAGATAAGTCGCAAAAACGGCATTCCGTTCTATTTACAGTTCGCATTACCTTTAATGTACTCTTTTGTAAGCCTGTTGGATGGTTATTACCGTCTGACTTGCAAATGGACATTTAATTTATGTAAAGACGTTACCACCCCTTCACTGAAGAGTTTGTACAGCATGAGATGTCATGGTCCTGTGGGGTACAGTGTAGATTCAATCTTTAATTGTAACTGTTTTTTGCAATCAAATTTTAAATTTCAGTGGAGAATTTTCTTACTCTAAACTTGAAGAAAAAAGGGGCAATCATCCAGGATGTTTTATTCTTCGCGAATGTGAAACCAGATACAATGTTTATTTTATAGATGTTTGCATAAAAAATTGGTAAGTTTTTGTTTCATTATTTTTTGCCCAAAAAATAAACCATAAAACTTTTGTTTTTTTAAAGCTCTAAGCCAAAGACTTACAAGTTAGAAAAACTCCCAAACAATGAATTAATATTCAATGATGACTTAACTAAGTATAAAAATGTATTTCAATTAATAAAGGCTTACAGTGACCCTAACGGCTCAATTTTCCTGCAGGAGTGTCTTCCACCCTCAGAATATGGTCAGATTCCACAATAACACTTTATAAAATAAGGCAATAATTTATCTTTTCTAATTATAGATAATTCGCATCTTCTACTTTGTCAAAATGAGACTTTGGTGGGCGATTCTTTAACGGATGGTTCATCTGTTAAAGGTTTAATACCATCCAGCCCGCTGTGTATTAACAACAGAGATATACAAGTTTACAAAGGTAAGCATTCATAAACTATGTAGCATTTTAAAAAGAAATTTTATTCGAAAATATAGAAATGTCAAATAAGACGCAATGTAAGAACAATAATTTGACATAAATCAAGGGCAAGAAATGCTTCAAAACTTTAGTAAAATAGTTATTGTTAGTTTAATTAAGTTAATTTATATTACTTGCAACGACGAACTTGGCAATTTAACTGATTTATCGCGATGTATATTAAGTCATTTGGGTTTGGAATATCGAGGGGAAATCCAGAAAACTGAATCGGGTGTTCCCTGTCAGGCATGGGATTCGGAGAAGCCCGTTCATAAAGTGAACATCTCTTTTATCGATGAGAAGTTTAGCGATTTCTCGAAAAAGAATGCTATGAACTATTGCAGAAATCCCAGTTTGCATCCTGATGGACCTTGGTGTTACTCCATGGAGAAGAATAACATAAACGAAACGTGTATGATACCGTTGTGTTCGTTTAGTGAGTGCAAAGCAACTGGCCCCGGAATGGAATATTCAGGGAAACATAAACGGGGATTATCAGGTAATCGGTACATGAAGGGCAAAAAATATTAAGAAGAATCGTTCTTAAAATTGTCGCACATGACATTCGTTTTTATTTAGTTTGAAGGTGACCTATTCATTAACTTGATGGCAAAATTAAGAGAAAAAAAAATTGTAGATAGAAAATGTTTAAAGTGGAACAAGAAAAGGAAAAAAGTTAGACATGATGGCAATATAACTGAAATAGAAAAATATGCAGCACACAAATTTCCTGAGAATGATTTATCAGATGCAAGTAAATTTTGTCGAAATCCGAGTGGAGATGTGGGAGGTCCTTGGTGTTTCGTTGAGGTTGAAGATTCCAATGAAGTGGAGAGAGAATATTGTGATGTCCCATTTTGTGAAGACCAAGAGTGTACCGTTTTCACAAAAGAAACTCCAATCTACTCGCATTTCGCAGCATTCGAAAGTACTCAGAACTTTACTTTTGGATTAAGACTGTGGGATTCAGATTCTTTTCTCAATACAAGTGCTAAATTACTTTTATCTGTTTTGGCCTTGCCGACAACGGGTAATGAAGTAAAAGAATTGGGATTTGGAATAGAAATTCATATTTCAACGACAAAAGTCGCACTGACTTATGGCAATAAAGATGACGTGCATTATGAAAAGTTAGAAAACCCCTTAGTTTCGCATAAATATCAATTTTTTTCGTTAAACTGGGATAAAGGGATTATAACGTTTTCTAGAGAGGGTGCCGTGGTACCCATATTTATGGCTGAAATACAAACGAAAAATAATCTACTTGGATATCATAAAGACGCCTTTTCCTATTATTCAGCAATGGGGGAAAATATGCTGTGGTCTTTCCCCTTTTGTGACGATGACGACGTTTGTGACATTCAAACAACAACTTCAGAACATCATCAACAATTTTGGCCTCTTGGAAGAACGGATTTAGGTTTCGATCTTAAATTTTATATTCGTGCATTTCATTCAGGATACATTTTACTCGTTCCAAGTCCCGCAGTAAAATATCCCGCTTTGAAAATAATGCTAGACAAAAAAGATGGCTTCACTGAAGTTGTTCATTATCCCCGCGAAAACGAGCCACCCAATGTATTGGTCAAGCACACATTGAATGAATTCTTGCTTGATTATTGGAAATGGGCCGAATTTACACTTGCAATATTTGCTGATAATTTACAACTTTTTAGCACTCGAGATATTGGAACTTTATTAATCATTGACTTGCGTCACGAAAGTATAAGACAGATACGTTGGTTTTCACCAGCCTCAAACGATAGTGTGGCGCACTGGACGTTTTCTTGTGCGCCTCTGAAATCTGCTAATCCCCCGCCAGCATTTTTACCTGAATGTGCTCTGGAAATGCATGAAAATACCTATAAAGGAACCCAAGATTTAACTAATGAAGGAATACCTTGTTTACCTTGGTCAGGTAAAGGTATTCCAAGCAATGATTTCTTCAATGACAAGAATGAAGTGCTCAAAACAAGAAATTATTGTAGGAATCCCTTGAGTGATGATTTAGGTAAATACTCAACTAGGCGCATAAAATATGTACATATTACTAAATTTAGCTATCTGCAAAACCTATAAATATGTAACTAAAAGTGAAAATAATATTATTTGAAGGTTCTTATTGTTACACTTTTTCGCGTACAAGGGAAATCGTAAAAAGTTATTGTCACATAAGACCATGTAAATCTCAAGAATGCAGATTGGCCGGAACGGGTAATGATTATGTCGGAAAACTTAATATAACTCGGTCGAATCGATCTTGCATGGCATGGACTGCTACATCTTTCAAAAGTTATAACGAAACTCTATTTGCCGATAAAAAAATCGAAGACGCTAAGAATTATTGCCGAAATCCTACAAGAAACTTGGCTGGTAATAAAATGTAATATTTAGTTCAACAATTGTTCAAATATAGTTTCGTTCTAGGAAGTTGGTGTTATACAAATGATAGTAGGTTTAGATATGATATATGCAACGTAAGAGACTGTGATAAACCCGAAGAGTGCATCGTTATAATTAGACAGAAAGGAACGGGTTAGAAAATGATTCTTTATCATTTTTATTTATTTATTACTTCATTAGCTTCAGATATCCATATACTGCCCCAGTGGAAAGCAGGAGGTGCCCACGGGGGACTGCATTTTGCCGCAAAACAGTGGAATCCTGATCAGCAAATAGGCGCAGTTTTTGAATTTAAATCGTTAGAAAAAGATCAGTCAATGAAGTTGGTCATAGGAGAAAAAGAAAACGAAAAAGTGCAAATGTATTATAACTCGTATTTGGTTAAAGAAAAGACGCTTTCCCATTTAATGCATTCTGGCAAATGGACGTCATTTTGGCTACAAATTCGAAAGGGTGAAATAGCTCTCGGATATGAAGACGTCGAAACAGCCTTATTCGAATGGACACATGATTATCAAAATACAGCATTTGAACCCATATTTATGAGTTATATGTCTTTGTTCTTAAGTCCTTTAGGACTATTTTTTAATTGCGATGAATGTCATATAGAGAACGTCACAAATTCTGATTTTTTAAAACTTTTTCCTCTTGGATTACGGCGAAAAGATAGGAAACCGCTTTACAACAGCATATGTTTTAAATTACGAGGTATTGGTGTCTTTAATGTGCTGTTGTCTGCTTTGCCAGACGTCGGTTTATATCATTTGATTAAAATAAGTGACGACGATGTGTCAATTTATAAAGTAGACTTTAACAAGCGCAACAAAATGATACTACTAAAGTTAGAAAAAATGATTAAAGGCCCACTTTTACGCACAAATTCCTGGACGAATTTACACATTTCATTTCAAGAACAAGAGTTAAATGTTTCTTCAGAAGAGGCACTTTTGTTTCGTTACAACAGTAGCGATGAGCCATTAGTGTTTTATTGGTTTTCTGTAGGATCTGAAAAGGGCTGGGTGGTTTGGGTGGCTAACTGTGTACCTCTTGACATTGATGGTCCTCCTTTGGACGGCGGTTGGTCCAAGTGGTCACCATGGCAATGTACCGTCACATGTGGAGGAGGTTTGTAAAAAAGGCTAACTTTTTATCATTTTTTTGGACTATAACTCAATTTAAATGTTAAAGCCACCCCCAAGACTAATGTTTTAAACATTTCCGTAGGAGAAGGATTTAGAACACGAAACTGTACGAATCCCAGCCCAAACATATTCGGTCAACAATGTCATGGGTCACCAAAATCTGTGGGAACTTGTAACGATTTTCCTTGTGGAGACATATCACCTGCAACTATTGAATCTATTCAACAGGATCTAAAGACAACTCAAGTTAGTTTAATTGTAAACGAAGAAGATTCACTTTTTATAGAAGCTAACAACGAAATTACTTCAAAAATACACACGGAATCACCTGAAGCCACCTTTATGTGGACTTTGAACGGATTATTGGTGGAAAAAAACAAAAATCGAACTATATTGAAGAATAATAGCATTTCTATATCGAAGACTTCAGAAAAAGATGTAGGAGTTTATGCATTTGTATTGAAGAGAATAAATAAGCAAAAACTTATAATTCGTACAGTTACATTAGCAGTTGTATCTAAAACTTACGATATTTCTACAAGAGCTACATCAGAACTTATTTTACATTCCAAAGCGATGACTTTGGGACATATTTACATCGATCTTTCCCAAAAATGGCTCTTAAATAATACTACCTACATTGATTATGGGATAACGACCCTTAGTGCCGTCGCCACCGAACGTATCAAGCCGTTAAACGCATCCCATTCTGGAGAATGGAGATGTGTAGTGGAACAATTAGAATTAGGTTTATTCTGGGTTACGAATATAGTTAAAGTCGAGGTCAAAAAGGCTCCTAATTTTTATACTCATCTTATGGAAGATAAATTAACTGCACCAATTTTTGCTAGATTTAAAACTGAGAAAAATATAAGAAGAGTTGCGGCCTTGTTTTTTATTACTTTATTTTTACTTCTAACTTCATGTACGGGATTCTATTTGTTACTAAGAAAAATGCCTATAAAAAAGATTAAGAAAAAATCTAAATATAAGAGAAATAGAAGACTGTAATATAAATAGTGCAAATAAAGTGATTTGATTATTTGATTTAACCATTAATATTATGATAAATTGAATTAAACAATCTAAAAATTTTCTATAACTTAGGTCACAAGAAACTTGGCTCCGAGGAAAGAACAATGGTTTACAGAAGTATGTGGAAACTAACAAAGGGGAAAAAGATTGAAGTTGCAATGAAAATTTTAAAGCATGAATATTATGAAGAATACCTAAAGGTACTTTTGATTTAATCGGCACACTAATAATTTATTAATGCAATAAATAGTGTAGTATTCTATTTATTGTTATATTTTGTTTCAGGAATTTTTAGAATTAGCTGGTCAATGGGCGTTTTTGCAATCATATGCAATCGTTAAACTGTTTGGTGTTACTTTAACAAGTCCAGTGTCAATGGTGCTTGAATATATGAAATTAGGAAACTTGGACCAATATTTGCAGAGAAATAAATCGTCATTAAAAGAAGTTGATCTAATTGAAGCAGCTACTAATCTGGCGTCTGCTTTGTGGCATTTGGTAATAAAAAGCAGCAATATCATGTTCAACATTTAATTGCTTAATGTAAATCACAGGAAGAAAATGGTATAGTTCATGGAAAAATTCGATGCAAGAAATTACTGGTCAGTTACCATGATGACAGGGTTTTTACAGTTAAACTTTCTGATCCTGGAGTTCGATATTCTTACAGTTCAAATGAGTAAATAAATGGTTTAAAACATTGCAATTTTATTGAATGAATGTTCCTTTAGGGTTCATTGGATACCAGTTGAGTGTTATTCAAATTTAGAATTTGCCAAGAGATCAACAGCTGCTGATGTATGGGCTTTTGCAACGACTTTGTGGGAAATTTTTATGTATGGAGAACAAATTAAACAAACTAGTCACATAAACGCCATGAAGGTAGATATAAAAAAAAAATAAAACATCTACTAATAATACAAATTAATACGATTTGTGAATCAGTTTTACGCCAGTGGCAAAAGATTGCCGCAACCTGCTTCCTGCCCTAATGACATTTATCAAATTATGAAAGAATGCTGGGATGCAGATCCGCACAGAAGAAAGCAACCTCAGGCTATCATGCGAGATATTAAACAAATATTTTATCAAGGTAAATGGTATATAAGAGCTTTTAAAAACGATAAAAAGTAATTAAAGCTTTTTATTTTAATTGTAGTGTTCAACTCCAGAAGAGTTCATTCATATGCTAAAGTATTTACTTCTAAAATGTCTAAAAGTTCTGGTTCAGTGTCCAGTTTGAATACAAATGCTACAGGTAAGATTAATTTTTATACTTTGCAGATAATTTGACACCTATTCAAGTTTCTGTGGGCAATTTTCGGGATTCATTTTTTATTTAATTTTCATCAAAATTAGTATTTTCTTAATCAATTAATTGAGCTGAGCTGAGTCGCTTTTAGATAGCCTCGAGTTGGTACATGGGCAATCGTCTCTTGTTCTTTATCAAGTATGTAGGTATAGAAAATTATGTAAAATCGTTCTTTTAAAAAATTTGCAGTAGTGATAACAAGTAATTACTGTGTATCAGTAAATATAAAAAATTAATTACTTTGTATTTATTAATACTTTTAGTGTTCCAAAGTTTTTGGAAGTCGGTTTTTATATTTTTTAAAAAATTACTTGTTTAAATTATACACTAACAGCTATTAATTTCAATTTACAGATAGCACGTATGTTCTGCCTAATGATGGTTTAGTATCTCTCTCTTCTATGAGTGAAAAAGATATCGATTTTATGTATGGATCTTCTACAAATGGAATCAGCGTAGAAAAAGCATGGATCCTTGGAAACTTAGATTATAGCGACGACACTGAATCGTGCGATGTTTCGACAATTTTATCCAACTTCGACTTTTCTGCCGCTACTTCTGCCACGTCATTAAATAGTTTGAATTCTATGCAAAGCGTTTTTGAGCTAGATGGTGACTGTAATGTCGTGTTACAGGGACGAATTGGACAGGTTTGAAATTCATATCAAATAAGATTTTGGATTATATTTTACATACTTTTTAGGGATTTTACGGGGAAGTTTACAAAGGGACGTTAGAATATTTAGGCGATAAGGATATCGAAGCGAAGCAAGTGGCAGTTAAAAAATTAAAAACATCGGCAGTATCTACCTGCTTGCAAGATTTTGAACGTGAAATAACGATTATGAAGGTATAATATAAAATTAATTAATTACAACTGGAACTATTTTCATCTTTTTTCAATAGAATTTGAAACACCCCAATATCGTGGAAATATTTGGAGTGTTGCAAGAACCTGAAATTTCTCTTGTAATGGAATATGTACCGCATGGTTCTTTGCAAAGCTATTTAAAAATATACAAAGAAGTATTGACTGTTAAACAATTGCTCAAGTATGCGTTAGATATTGCAAATGTAAGCTTATGGTTTTAGATGAATTTATTAAATTATTACCAATCAATATTTTTCAACAGGGTATGGAATATTTAGGGACAAAACATAACATAGTTCACAGAGATTTAGCGGCGCGAAATATTTTAGTTGTTGACGAAAATCATGTAAAAATTTCAGATTTCGGCCTAGCTCAAGTAATGGGACCAAACGATTATTACATACTCAAAACAAGCCGAGAACTACCTATTAAATGGTAATTTTTTCTGTAATTTTCATTGCATGCATCGTTCACTCTGTATATTTTTTGTTTGAGTGTTTTCGTAAGTATTTTTATTATATTAGGTATGCCCTTGAGAGTTTACGGGATGGCAAGTTCTCATCTCGCTCTGATGTCTGGTCATTTGGGGTCACGTTGTGCGAAATGTTTTCGTATGGAGAAGAACCTAAACTACCGAATGTTGAAGTGACACCTGCTGAACAAGAACAACAGGCTCTGTTAAATTCATTAGAAAATGGAGCGAGGTAATTAAAAATTATTTATTTTATATTGTTTCAAGTTGCTTTTATTACCATTTACCTTAATAAATTTGAATGGAACCTTTTTATTTAAATGGAAAGTTTTAAAGTTTTAACATTTGTCATAATAATATTGAAATTATATTCTGTACAGATTTCCCTGCCCACCTATGTGTCCACAATCTGTCTATGTACGTATTATTTATCCCTGTTGGACAAATAGTCCACATGATAGACCCACATTTTCTCTTCTGCATGGTGAAATACAAGATATGTTAACACAATATTAGTATCATATTTCACAAGTAGGAACTAAGCACAAGGGCAAACTATTACTCATCAATAAATGTGCATTTTAATGTAAAATTAAATTTAATCGAATTGATTGGTTATAAACGTGTAATTGTGATTTATAATGTCCATGTTTTAATTGATGCCTATTTGATTAATTTTAATTATATTGTGCAATTATGTAATTTTAATGTTTTTCATAGGTATGATTGATATTAAACATCTTTATTATTTTAACTTTAATGAATGTATATATTTCATTGTTTAATAATTTTTGTATAAAAACATGAAATTGCTAAAGTTGATTCTGTTTCTTTGGTAAGTGAATTTATTTTTCACATTCTTTTTCAATGTTCTATGAGAACACTTTATAAATGTACCTTGAACACTGTGATGTACCTTACTAACATGAAGTTTTGCATCGTGTGGTTGTGCCAAATTGATTAACAAAACTCAAAAAATTTTATACATTGTATTTTATTTTATATCATATTTTTGCAATTCCAGATTTACGTAAGTAAATTTTTATGCGTGACTTCATGTTAAAAATGTTTTAAACACAAACCTTTAATAGTAGTACAAGTAAACTGGTTTTATTTTACATGTGTGCCATATTATGTGCAATTGTAGCAAAACTGCAATTATTTTTTCTTATATACTAATAAATGTACAATCTTACAATGTTGTTTTTCTATTACGTTAAGAAGTTTATTAAGACAGGCACCTTAGAAAATTTTTCAAAAAAAAAAAACAAACTTTATTTTAGTAAAGGAGTATAAACAATTCGGAATGTAAAGTTTAAATTAATAACGGAAAATATTGTTTCACAACAAAATGAATACTTGATAGAAATGATTTATCTGTATATGAAGTAGAATGAATTTAATGAAGTTGAACTGCTGACATGTGTAATGCAATTTTTTTAAGCAATTAAAAAAGCACAAGATGAAAGGTAGGAATGGAGCTTTTTGTACTACTGTTGGAACATTTAACACATTATAAGCTTACACTTCTATGCCTTACATGCAAAAATGCACTTTTAAGCACTAATCCAATGCTACTGAATTATAAATTCATTGAATAACTCTGAATTACACCACACATTTTACTTGTAAGTTTCCTGTTAAATTTCTCTACCACAAACTTATCTTCAATTTTATGTTTACATTATGTATACATACAACAACAAAGCTTTCAAACTATCCAATCTTTCATTATAAAAACGTGTAATTTATAACTGGTCATAATTAATAGTAAACAAACATTTAATTCTTTAACTTCAAATTTTTCAGGATTTAGCATTTTCAGAGATACTACATGTATGTTCTTTAGCATTTATTTTATTTAGAAGAGAAAATAAAATGGGAATTTACTCAAGATCACTACTGACATCGACCCTATCAAAATAGCTTAATAGTCCCTGAAGACGTTTCTTAACCCTTTTTTGATCATCTACAGTACAACCTAAGAGGGCAGACTCAAAATTTTTATCTGTAGCTCCCTCAACAAAATGAGATGAACAAGCATTCATGTAGGCAATGCATTTAGATTTAGCACCCTCTGGGTCATTCCTAACACTCATCACTAAATAATCTATCAAATGATTTATTTGATGGAGAGCATCTTCTTGAGTCTGGTCACGTTGTGTTAAAATAGTTAATTCTACTGTTGCACAACGATTCAATATACGATCAGCATAATGCAATACATCATCACGCTCATCTACAAGAAATATTTACAATTACATATCATTCAAATAGGAAATTGAAAATGTACTTTTTAATTGATGGTAATGGTAAATATAATCAGTAAGATAGTGAGCTAGATGAGGACCAATCTGACGTAAGCATTTACAATATAATTTTAAAGTAATATGCAATAATTTGTTTATGTATGTGTACTGTCACTGATAAGACATTTTCAACTAATTCTCAATCATATGGGCATTATAGAGAAATACAAAACATTAAATCAACTTACTTTCATTTAGGTCTAGCATAAGATCTGTTCCTTTAATAGAATCCAACGAAGCCAATAATTTATCACGTTCCTCTTCGAGTCTGGAAGCTTCCTTTCGAAGTTTTTCAACATGACTTTCGAGAACGTCTAGAAGTTCAAGCAATCGTTGTTTTGGAGATTTATTTTCTAAAGGACTATATTCATCAATTTGAGGTAGACTACCCGATTTTGCTGGTGCTAAACAAAACCAAGATATGTTTTAGATAAAGAAATGTTCTAGAAAGTTATGATAACCTATACTACCGGTTGAAGATCCACCTGATAAATCCACCTCCATCCCAAAATTTTCATTAATCATTTAAAACTCCAATTTAATTTGTATTAGCTACTACTCGTTTAAATATCTATTAAAATTTTTATTTGCTTGATAGCGCCTTTTCACTATTTATTATTCACTCAAGCTGACATTCACAATTTCATTATTGACAATTTCTGAAATTTACTTTTTATCTTATCTGCTGTATTGCCAGATATTTGTAAAATAAGACAAACACCACTTTTATTTCATACTTAGTTTTTTGAAACTGTATGATAAATATATATCGCGGAAAATACAATATTTGCACATTTTTACTCAAAAATATCCCGTAAATGTAACGTTATTACATAAATTAGTTTTTCAGATTAATAGTTTAAATTATACCATTGTAAATGGAACAAAATTATTGATAAATTATTGTGGCAACCATGGAATAAAGTTTAACGGTTCCTAGTTGAAATTTTGAAATTATATTTAAATGTTTGAGTGTCAAACGTCTATTTAAAATATTTGTTGGATGATGTTTTAAAAATATAATAGGTAATTATTACAAGTTTTGAATGAAACGAAATTTTATTAATTACATTACAGTATATTTTCAACAGAAGTATTTCACTTTTTAGCGGCAAAATTGTAAAGCTGTTTACTAACCTCTATAACGACTTATTTATTAAAAAAATCCATTTATTTACTTAAATTCCATCATCTTAAGCATAGATAAAGTTATTTAAAAATACGGCCTATGTTTTAGATTCAAGAGGCTCTGATATAAAAGATAAATGGAATTATCTGATTACCTGAGAGCAGGTTTAAAAGAGTTACAAAATAAACGAACTCTTGTATCTCATTTGGATAATATACAACAACAAATGCAAAGAAGACGTTCTTCGAGATTGCAGAACCTAATGAATCTCAGAAAAATAAATGAAGCAACATTATCACCAGTTATTACACCAGCTAAAGTTCGAACACCTATAATATTGAAATCTCTAGAAGGCTCTCCGTCATTCAAAAGAATAAATAGTAGACACCATCAACAAGAAAAAAGTGATGTTATAAAAGAGAGAAAAAAGGAGAAAAATCAACACATTGATAAACGTAAAGCATTACTACTTAAATGGAAAGAAGAAAAAAACAAGAAACTACAATTAGAAAAGAGTCATAAAAAACCTATTTTTAAGGTATCACATGCTGCAAGTTTACCTTCGATTGATTCAGCCAATCAGTTTATAAAAGGAAAACGTATTACTCCAAAATCGAAAGGAAATACCCCCAGTTTATATAAATTTGCACCAAAGAATCACATTTTTAAACCTCCTGACAATATTAAACCCATTTATTTTAAAAGTAGTACAACGAAAGGTAGTAATATGCCTATTACTAAGAATACTCTTTTGCTTCAAGAAGATGTAAAAACTGCTATCAAGAGTAAAAGAAAATTGGATTTTAAATCAGATAACAATAATAAATCAAAAGTATATACATCAGTTGTACAACCTAGAATCATTGAAACTAGAACAAATTTAAAATGTACGGAGAATGACAAAATCTTGAGTAACAATAAGGATGTTTCTTCTAAGAAATGTATAAGAGCAGACAATTCTACTGCAAATTATAAAGTTAAAAATCAATTAGTTAAAAAGTCACCTAGACTAAACTCATCAAAAAGATTTACAGAAATAGAAGTGCCATCATCTCAAAATGTAAGTAAATTATCATCGACTTCAAAAGATAATCTAGCAACAACAACTAATGAATTAAAAACAATATCTAAACCTCGCAATAATACTTCAGTAAAAAATTTGAAGATTGAAAAGTGTTCAAAACCGAAAACATCAAAGAAAACGTTATCTAAAAGTTCTCATCGGAAAAGCATATTCAGTTTGTCAAGAAATAAATCGCCAGAACCATGTAAAAAGGAAGTTTTCCAAGAAGATTCAAAATCTTCTAAAGCTACAGAAAATGAAATGTGTACATCTTCAGGAAATTCAAAGAATCCAAAATCGCCAGTAACTCCTGTCAGCAGTAATTCTCTTCCACAAACACCGAAAAATAATACTCCTCCCGTATATATAAGTCCCTTTATCACATTATCACGAGGAAAAGACAATGCACGTAAGGAATACAAACAGCGATTGTCTAAAGGGGGCACATGTGAAAATTCGGATTTCTCTAGGTATACAAGTCCCAAAGCTGCCGCTGTGTACTTTACGGATCTATTAAACTCTGAAATTTCTGAAATTCTCAATAAGTGTGAAAAATGGGAATTCCATAAAAAAGATGATAATTTACCTGACGGCGCTTGCGACATGATAGACGTGGCAATTGGACAATCACATTTACTGGTAAATCAGAAATTAGAACAATTTAGGGGCCTTATAAGGTCAGCCGAAAACAAAGACGGCAGCGTGACCTGCCACGATTTACATGGTTTCTGGGATTTGGTAAACATACAAATAAAAAATGTAAGAGACCGATTTGCCAATTTAGAGAGACTGCAAAACAACAGATGGGAAGAAATAATTTGCGCTAAAACTAAAACTCCAACAAAAAAGAAAAACTCAATCCGAAATAAAGAAGGTAAAAGAAAAGCCGATTCAAAAATAAGAGGCTTTATAGAAGCAGCCAGACAAAAGAAGAAATTACAAACTAATGAACAGAATATTGCAGAGGCATCTGATCCAAAAAGTTCTTTACAAGAATTTTCAAATAAAGTCTTACCAAGGCGGAGATCTTCAACGGTTTCGGTATCCGAACGTGGCATTAGTTCTCCAGGACTAACAATAATGAGAGCGTCACTTTCTGCAAAAAAGCTTCAGCAGACATTAAGCTCCAACTCGACACCGATTAATTTAAACAAGAGTGCCACCGTTGTAAAAAGTATCTTAAAATCAGGGCAAATAAAAACATCAAAGAAGCGTCATAAATCGGTCTTATTTGAAACTGCGTTTGAGGATAATCTTATAATCCATTCTGGTACTTGCGAAAACAATCCCAATATTGATAACATTGAGCCACGACCCAATGTAAAAAAATCGATCAGCTTTTCTCCAGAAGATTACAAGGTTGTCCGTAGATCGTCAAGACTAAACGCAAAATTGCCAAAAAGTAAATTATTCTGACGCTTTGCATGTTAATTTATTAGTTATTTAAATGTAGAGGTATCGTTAGATGTTACAATGTATGTAAATTTTAATCCATAGTTTTATTGCTGACTTTTATGTTATTATAATGGAGTCTCGTTAAATATAGTAAAACAATTTCAAAAATTATTTTTTTTATACGTGTACGTATATTTGTCATTAAAAACTACATTTTTGAAAAGCCATTTTTTTAAAGTAGTAATAATTTACTTAAATAAAAAGATTCATTTTGTATAATAGTTTCACAATTAAAATTATAAAAAAAGCTATGATACTACGTCTCCAATTTGTACTTGTATTCAAAAACCATTAAGAATTAATAAATTTATAAGACATTTTTTATAGCAGTATGCTTATCAATGTCAACAATAGCATTGACACCATCTTCCGACCCAATAGTTTTATATTCTGTTTTATACATTCCTGGTGGACATAAATCTTGGAACTTACTTGTTCCAGTCAGTGCTTCAGGGTAATCTACACCAGGGTTGTTAAGATATGTCCATAACGGATAATTGGTTGGAGGAACGTAAACTTCAGAAGATGTAGTTCTGTATCCGCTAAAAATTTTCAAATTACTAAATTTTAGTATTCAACATTTATCTTTTAACAATTCGAAACTTGAAATGGTCAACAATCCCTTGGGTCTTTTTTATTAAATTCAATTTATCTGTTTTCTTCACTAATGGAACGGAAATTTACGACTGGAAATGTAAAAAAATATATATTAAGGTTTTACTAGTTTTCTTACCTATGTGGCACAGGTTTTGGCGAGACATGAACAAGACGTTCTTGAATTTTTAGTTTAAATGGCATATTATCTTGCATGTAATTTTTTTTTGAAGGAACCATAGGGGATATGTCCGGAGGATTTTTAGGTCCAAAACCTTTGGCCTAAAAATAAGCAATGCCAATTTTTATTATATTTATACAACCCACTCATTAAAATATCGAACATATATTTTGTTAGTTCTATAACAAAATACCACAAAACGTGGGTTTTTAAATGCGCACGTTTACCTTGGGTGCTTTTATTATGTCGTAGTAAGTAATAATATCCTTTTTGGAAATACCTTCCCAATGTTCTTTAGTAAATGGAAAATGAGTAGAAGCGTAGGTGGTCATATAAGGGTCAAGCCATTTATAGTACCCTTTTTCCTCAGGTCTAATTTTCGGTTGTTCATCACGGCCAAGTGCTTTCACCTAACGGCCGAAAAGATGAATAAATTTTGAAAAAATTCAATAAGAGTAAAAATTACTTTCCTCACATTTTGCATAAGGTTCTGGCGGATAAACAATTTCATCATCGGCTATGGGCTGTTTCAAGGTATAACTTTCGTGCATTTCCGATAGAAAATGGGATCTTGGTTTTGGTGGATTTTGAAATATCTAAAATAATTTGAACGTCCGCATATGTATACAAAACCTAAACTTGTCCTTTTTATTTTACCTTTTCTTGGACATTTCTTGTATAGTGCACATCTGCATAAGTTCCACATTTAGGATAGAATTCATCGATATTTTTTTGATAGTATTTTTTTACAAAATTCCTTCCATATTCGGATTCTTTTACGGCATCCTTAGTAGTGGGATCGGACAGTGATAAACCCGGTCTTACTTTTAATGCTACTCTCTACAAATAGATGATTTCCAAGATACAACCTTTTTTTTTATTACTTCAAAAAGTTCGTACGCAATCTAAATTTTGAGGAATCTCCGGGTAGTAGTCATGAGAGGTTTTGGTGATAGTTCTATAATCTGCAGGATTATTTATTGGTTTCCCGTAATCCACATGTGACAACGAATTTGATGTTTTAATTGGAAACTGCAGGTGAGGAAGGTTCATTGTAATTAAAAAAATTCCTTGTATTTTTCAATAACAAACTGATTAATAAACCAGTGTTAAATTCAAAAAGACTTGGATACGTACAAGGAGTCCCACAAGTTTAATGGGAAACTATTATCCCATTTGTTTATAATATAATATATTAATGCATATTAAAGCAGTAAGACTTATGTTAAAATCCGCAATCCGATTAATTAATATGAATCTGATATAACTTGTATTGCCTAAATTTTGTTGTTAACTGTATAAGAATTTAAACGTGTGGGACACAGGATACCTTAATTTCCTATGACGACCGTTTGTTATTTCCCTTATTTTATTCTGTTAATAATACATATACAATTGTGTCATGAAATAAATATTGTATTGAGGAGTATTAACGAAACAAATTTCGAAAATGTCACTGGTAGGAACACAAGTAGTACCGTCTTTAATGGTATTTTTCAATGAAGGGAACGCTGGTGATATAGAAGGTAATATAGGAAAAATGAATCATGCATTCTCATTTGACCCTATACTATTTCAAACTGTTTCAAAAATTGAATTGTTTATGAGAACTTAAAAATATTCGTACACTCGATTATATATATACATTAATGAAGTATTGGTAAATCTTTCAATTCGAATTATGTGAAGACCTATCAAATTAAATTTTAAACAAATAAATTTAGTTTCACAAACAAATTATCATGAGCATCATTAATTCCCGTTTGTTTTGCCAGAATTATCAAATGCAGACTTGATGAAATATGTGGACGAACTTGATAAAGAAGTCGTGTACATGGAAATTGAAAATGAGGTTTTCGAGTGTTATTTATCAAAAAATGAACCATTATTATTAGTCGGTAATATTTTATTATATTGTGCATGATGAAAGATGAACTTTTGCTACTACTTAATAATCTTCCATGGTAGGTTATTATCAGTACATTCGTATTCTAACAAACGAAGATAATTCTAGTGATCAGCAGTTATCATCATCTCCTAGCAAACTGCACATGGACATATCTTTAACTGCATTATTTGGTCGAAAACCTGATTCTAGATCGGCTACAACTCCAGAAAAACCCTATCGGTATGATATTCCACTCATTTTCTTAACCAGTACTAAAACGTATTACCACAACATTTTTTAACAAATTCCAATAGTTATATTACTCACTTTTTGGAAAATTTTCTTCATAATTTATACCTTGTATACGTATAACATTGTTAAAGATTAAATTTGAGTACCAAAATGGAGCTTGTTATGAACGAATTAGAAGAAAGAAAAAGTAGTTTTGAGGAAATGGTAAAAAAAACGCGCAAAAAAAAGAGCGATTTGAAAGCAGAACTAGAAGAGGTAAAAATACGTACAGCTGAAGTTGAAGAGGCACTTAACACCTTTGAAAAAGTTGTAGTTATTGAAGGAAAGGATCCTCTCACACAAAGAATTCCAGCAGAAAGATTTATAAGGTTTCATTTAAAAAACTGTCTATTGTGAGGGAAGATCAATATAAAACAATGACTTTCAAGGTTCATGGAGGAGTGGTTAAGAAAAGCCGACGTTACTATAGGAAAAATGCGACTGAGAACGTCTACTTTGAAAACTCAGTTCAGAAAAGTTGCACATTTAATTTCTCAAAAAAAATATTTGGGAGAAACAGTTCATGCAGTGGATTTTGACAAAATTCGTATAGAGAATACGTATCTCATGGAAAAAATTGAGCAAAAAACAGCGCATATGTTGGAATTGAAACAAATTAACGGAGAAGCAAATCTAATGCTCGCCAATTTTAAAAAATATTTGCTCAAACAAATGAGTGAACTGGATAAAGTTAAAAAGGAAATAATGGAAAACGAACGAAAAATAAAAGACCTAGAAACTCAAGGTAATCTGGCAGAACAAGAAGTTGAAAAACAAGAAGAAAAATTACAAAAAATGATGTATATCACGGAACATTATAAAGTAATCAATTACTATTTACAATCAAATGATTTTAAATCAAAGGAGAAAATTATAAAAAGTTATTTTAATATTTACTCATTTTCAAGGTACCCGAAGTTATACAGTATGTTAAAAAGAAAGCAGAACTTTTGGATTTAAAAAAAAGTTATAAAACATGGATTAGAAAAAATAAACTTGAAATGGTTCGATTGATTCTATATTTATTTGATTCTTTCATTTGAATGTATATACTTTTTTAGTATAGTCTAAATCAAATTATCGAAAAAATGAAAAAGTTAACTGGTTCAAAGAAACAACGGCAGTCCTGGTTTAGGTATAAAACTTATTATAGGTAATTGATGAGCTTTAAACAAAAGTTCATTATAATTTTACAGCCTTCAATCAACTTATTCGGGGCTCACACTCGCTTCAGATGACTATTTCGGTCTTCCTATTCCCGACAAAAACGAAGATGACTATATATACTAATAAGTTTTTTAATTGAGATTAAATATATTATAAATAGAAAGAAACCTGAAACTACAAATACAAAATTGATTTGACCTTTACTTACAATTAGTTGTGGTTTTCATAAAAGTTATAACAGGTACCTTAATTTTAAATATTTTCCCCTAATTTTTTGTAATGTATCTATGTAGATACTTACGTAATCCTTTTCCCGAAAAGTTGGGTGTATCCATGTTTCGTATTCAGCGTAAACTAAAATATCCCTGAACCGTAAGTGCATATTTAATTTAAGTCTTCATCTGCCACTCTCTACTCCTGCTTCTGCTTCTAATTAGCTTTTCATGTATCAAAAGCGCATTTAATATTAATTTGCTTTTAAATATAAATAAACTCACTAATATGCGTTACTTCACTTGTGCCTTTATAACTACAATAATTTATAATACTGTTCTAATTAAATTCTTTTTAAATGTAATAAGCGGCAACCGGCAACATTGTTTCAACAAATGTTTAATTAATTGTTAACCATAGTTCCTGATTGCTGCAAAATGTATCTATGGTATCACTAAAGTGGATTTTTCATCTGCAAATTTAAATTGCAACTGTTCGTAACACATGCGGAAAACAAGGTAATTGCTTTGTAAGTTTGATATTTTTAAATAAAATTGGTTCTTTTTACATCATTTTATTGTGGTAACTTCACCTTATGACTCGAAAGTCTCGGATTATCTATGGTCTCCAAGTTCACGCTAGGGGATTTCCTCAAAGGTGCGGTTAGTAAAGTAATGTGTAGTAGCCTCCGTATACTCCACAACGAAAATTTAACAAAAAATTGAAAAGTTTGTGATTTGTACATACTGTAGTACAGACATGAATTCAATAGTTAATACTATTACTAAAAATTTGCCAGATTATTGGGATAAAAATATATCCTATCAAAATCCTTATCGTCGAATAAATGTAAGTATTTATCGGGCAGAGTATGATAAAATTTCCGACATACTTAGTAAAGCTGCCAACGATTACCACCATCAATTGCGAAGGTTGGAACGAGTGCAGAACGTATATGCCTATGGTCAGTTTATTGTACGTGAGCAATTCTTTATTAATAATGCCCCTTTATCCACTTGTTACAGGGTAAGTTGACTTTCTGAATTTCACCCTTTAAAAATGTAATGTGTATATTGTTATGTAGGTACAACGTTTTTATGTGTTAAGAAAAATTTATTTAGAAGATGCAATAGAATATAATTTGGACCCCAGAAGAATTGGTGTGGGAACTACTACTATAACATTTTTATCAAAGATTAACTTTGTACCAGATGATCATGTGGTATTAGTTCTAAAGGTATTGACCTACAATCCAAATCAAGATTCAATTACACCAGAACGAAGTTCAGATTACTTTATAGAATATGTAGCTTATCTTGACTAAATTTGTATTTTAACTATTTATTGTATAAGGAAGCTGAAATTTGACTTGTTATATTATACTACTTTTATAATTAACCAAAATGTTTACTACTTTTTTTATTTTGTCACCACACATTTTACTTGTAAGTTTCCTGTTAAATTTCTCTACCACAAACTTATCTTCAATTTTATGTTTACATTATGTATACATACAACAACAAAGCTTTCAAACTATCCAATCTTTCATTATAAAAACGTGTAATTTATAACTGGTCATAATTAATAGTAGACAAACATTTAATTCTTTAACTTCAAATTTTTCAGGATTTAGCATTTTCAGAGATACTACATGTATGTTCTTTAGCATTTATTTTATTTAGAAGAGAAAATAAAATGGGAATTTACTCAAGATCACTACTGACATCGACCCTATCAAAATAGCTTAATAGTCCCTGAAGACGTTTCTTAACCCTTTTTTGATCATCTACAGTACAACCTAAGAGGGCAGACTCAAAATTTTTATCTGTAGCTCCCTCAACAAAATGAGATGAACAAGCATTNCCTGAGAACAAAAAAAAAAAAACAAGTGAAACTAAAACCTGTTTTCTTTTAAAAATAAAAGTAAATACCTGAGAAAGCACGAACCTTTTAGAGGTAGTATAACACACGCGCCAATTCGGCACTGGGTTCTCTGTGTAGTGACTGTGCAGTCAAAAAGGCCAATTTGTGAGCATATTGGCATGGAGCAGGAACTCGTACAGTACCGGACCAGTTATAGTATAAATGAGTCATTTTGTAGGTAATTCGCTGAATTTGATCGGCAGTTTTACCCATCGTATCATAAATTATGTTGTAACTAGTTGGCGAAACCGTTCCTTGTCTTACACATTGACTCACAATAAAGAAGTCATACCTAAAAAATAACATATAAATCTTTTCTGCATTAATTCACTTTCTTTGTAAGAGTAACTACCGTTTCTATTTCTTTTATTAACTAATCATAAAACAAAATTATAAATTTACCTTTCTGGAAGCGTAACGCAATCGTCTACAACGCAACCAGGCGGCGGATTTGCAGGATTAGATGGGTTGCTATGATCAGGACCAAAGAATCTGGTATTAATACGCTTAGAGACAACCACAAAACACATTTTAACTTCTTGGTCATGGTAAAGTGATTCCTTTAATAATTTGAGTATTGCTTGAACTTCTGTATTGTAAACGTAAGGTAACTGACCATCACCCACACCATCACGATAGAATAAAATTAGTTCGGGGAGTCTTCCAGTATTAGCTTTGTATTCCTGACATGCCTTAACTGTGTTAATGGCGATATCTTTTGATAATTCCTCGTCATTTGTATGAGGGGTAACGACGCTGAAGTAACGTGTACAGAAAGGATCTAAAGTGGCTACCATAGCACCGAAGCTTTGTCCTCTTTGGTTAGTGTCATGGCATACATCGAAGCCGACTACCATCATGGTTCTTTGCAAAAAAAAAAGCGCATGTCATACCACCATAAGATCATATGCCACTTTTAAATATAAATACTTTTCAAAGCAAATGTTATTTCTTTTTAATTACAATAATAAGCGAGGGTATCATAGATGGGTCAATATTAATTGTTCACCAAAATGCACAAATGGAGAACTAAATATGCAATAAAAGTAATGGTAAAAGATCGATGAATAAATAAGAAAAATGTAGTATAGAAAAAAAAAAGAATAAAATAAATATGTTTTGCACTTTAAGACTTTTCCATTGACCCCCAGAGAACTTGTCTATATGTCTCCAACATTTCTTACCTTATTTTTTTTTTATAATAAATAATAATTTCTAACGTTTCTTCTGCAATTATTTTACGATTAATAAAACATGAATTTGCTTACTTTATTGGAATGTTGACGGTCCAAGGGGCTCCACCAATCTTACAGTTCATCTGAATCGCCACCTTGGTTGCGATCGACATTACACCTTTTGATTCGAGATTCTTCGCAAGTACAACTTGTGTGGGCACTGCACGATCGACGCAGCACTTTTTTTTAATAGCAGCATATCGATCGGCTTTATTATTTGATGCAATACACATAATCAGAGTAGGCTTATTACCACTACTCATAATTGACTCTAAAGCCGATAAATAAGAACCAGGACGGTCATCTTGAATTTCTTGTAATTTGGGCATCGGTAAACGCCATTGCATGCCACTCGCTACCTTAATTACGTTCTGTACAAAGGACTTGGCAGAATGTGTTAGTCGATTTGGACATACAACGTACCACAAGTCCATGTTAGGTGTATGAAGCATTGGAGAACTTCTAACAAACTTTGTCCAATCTGCGCTCATTCCCCCCGAATATTTGCCGTTTCTAGCAGTGAGAATGTCTTCGGGAGGTAGCACACGACCGCTGAATTCTACTAGGTTATTAGCTAGTTGCATATCCCATTGGCGCAATTCTTCTACAATTTTCTCGTTGGAAAGTAATCGGCGACTGAAATTCAAAAGCTTATCAATACGTGGACCTGGACCTACGCGAGTGTAATCAGCAAGTGCACGCATGAGATTGAAGTTTGCTCGTTGAGTGTTAGTTAAACCAGTCATACGACAAAGTTCTGGCACGAGGTAGACAGTTTCTGCCATACCAGCGCGAATTTCGCGGGCCTTGGCTCTTGAAACTAACATGGGCTGTTCTAATTGCCGAATCACCAAATTGTATCGCTGAAAAAATCCATTAAGAACATCATACACGGTAAATGTAACAGTATGAAATTTACCTGTTTAAAATAATCTACATAGGAAATAGAGGTACCATCTCGTTTAGAAAACACGGACTGAGGCGTAGTGTTAAAGTCTACGTCATCTATGTGGTATGTACGATTGTTATAATCGGTCAAAACAACGCTGCCCACTATGCTTGTGACAAAATTACGTCTGTAATCACCACGCCCTTCCTGTATGCAATCTTGCAATAGATGTAGGACGGTGTCATTTCTCATAACTTTATGAGTTATTTCAGCACACATCAATACTGCATTCTCGTGTTGTCTAATACTGGTAACATAACCAGGCCACAGTTCCATTCGATGCTCAGGAATACCAATCTGTTATATTATATAATAATTATTAATAATAAACGACATTAACAAATTCATTAGACAATTTACCTTAGCTTTGGCATCAAAGAAATTTCTTCCGACAAGTTGTAAATTCAAATTTCCCATGCATTTCCTCATTATGATGTTGAAAAATTGAATATACTGGTAATCACCAGCGGTCACATCACCTACCAACTTTATAGTTATGCGATAGGTAGTTTCACTCTCTATAAAAAGCAACAAATATACCTTTATAGATCATGAAAACCAGCACAAACACAATTAGAATTACAATTAATAACTTTTTATACCTTCGTGTTGAACATGCAGTTCCATTGGATCTGGACTTATCTTTTGTGCAGCGTACATATTTGTACCATCGTAAATATACCCTGCAAGTGTTCCTCTGATCCCCTGTCGGAATAAGTATTTTTTTCGACCAGTGTGGTCTTCTGGTGGAGCAAAGTCAACTGAGTATTGGTATAAACACCAATTAGGTGTTTGCATAAGTTTAAAATAATTTGCTTTTAGCCGAATCGAGTTACCAAATGTCCCTAAAATGAAAGGAAAATATAACATTTAATTAGACGCATCTCTTTTTAAATACAAGAACCATTAAAAAGTTAGTTAAGCTAAGCTGTATTGTTATTTTATGGTAACGTTACATTTAACACTTAGCAACGTTTTTAGTAACTAAAAATATCTTGAAAATAAAAGTAAACGTAGTAATTTTTAAATAAATCTTTTAATATATAGTATTGGAAAGAATAGGAGAACAGAGGACTGTATGGAAGACAATAAAAAATAGGCGAGTAAGGTTGGTAGGACACCTTCTCAGGCATGAAGGTCTAGTCAGAGACATATTAGAGGCAGAAACAGGAGTTGGGAGGGGTAGAGGTAGACCTAGATTAGATTACTCTTCGCAAATAGTTAAGGATGTGGGCTGTTCTAGTTTTAGGGAAATGCGAAGTTTAGCTCAGGATAGGAAAGAGTGGAGGTACGTGTCCAACCAGTCTTAGGACTGATGACCTTATGATGATGATATCGTAGAGAAATAAAGTACATCATCAGGACATCTGTGAAGTAACAATTAATAATCTATATATATCAAGTAGTGGACTAAAAGTAATACCAATAGGTAACAGAGGCCTGCCTTTGTCATTAAAAAAGAGGGCGGAAAGGTAACCAAGGGTTCGTTTAAATGAAGGGAGGAGCGGTTTAAGCTTCTAGAGTAGAATAGAACTCGTTATATACAAATGGAGGTTTACAGTTAAATAACCACTGCTCAAAATATGCGAGAGCTGACAAACTTATTTTCGTACATGCACAACCAACTTATCTTTTTCAGCTGACATCCTAAGCATAAGAGCATGAAAATAACATACATTTTTTAATCTCTTATTACTCCATCATTTTTAAATATTTTTTTTACGAAACTAATACAGTGCACACTTGGGATCTAGTAGATAAAGTGTGCACAGTTTCGGAGGAGTAGTGCGTATAAAATTCAGTGATTTTTTTTCGGTTAAAAGAGGGGCTCTTCCTACCAACTATAAATTACCTTGCTTGGTAGCCAGTTTGTCCGGTCTGGTTCGCAAAATAACTTGCAGAGGCCTTCTGCCTCTCACCGCACCTCTTCCACTGTGCATTGTTCCTACATCTCCTCCTCCTGCAACTAATTATAAAATGTATTATAGAAAAGTCAGTTAACTTTTGTAAATCATTTAAAGACCATAGGACAATAGAAAATTCACGCAAGCGACTTTATATCAGCATGCGTCATTTGCACTTATTTGACAAATAAATTATTAACTTAATTGTCAAACATGAAAATGATGCATGTTAATAGTTCAGCGCTTCGGTCCGAATTAGGCCCCCAGAATATCTCATTTATATTCTTAGGATACTCAAGGTACTAAATCTCATTAAAAAGTTAATCTAATATTAAGAGAATAAAAATGTAAAAACAATCTATGCTAAAGATGTCATACACCAATACTTCCACAAAATTTAACTTTAAATTAGTTTTTTGATAGTACAAGTAATGTACTTACTTCACAAAAAACAGCAAAAGAATAATAAATTTTGTTGTCATTTCTTCCCTAACAATTGTTTAAAGTAAGAAACCAGGCTACGTATGGGGCAAAGGTTTTTTATTATTATAAGATCAACAACCTACGTTTCGCACAGGCTCAAATATGCAATTTATGTGAAATAAATTAGAATAAGTAATTAAAATCATTTACAACAAACAATAGATAGTTAAAATAATAGAAATTAAAACCACTTAAAACAACAGAAAGTATAGATAAAACAATATTAAAAATAATTAAAAGCCACGTGCTAACAAAGACGACGGACACAGTAATATTATTGTTTTTTATCATAAATTTGCCCCATACGCAGCATGATTTTTTACTCTAAAGTGCAATAAAATTTTCATTACGGCTTTCTGTTAGAGATAATACTTAATTTTGAAATCACTACTTTTAAAAAATCTACACAGTATACTGAACTTCTGTTATGAATAGAGTCAATATGTTGTTTGTATATAGGTAAACATAAGTCATTGTACATCAGGAAAACTATGTATGTATATATATTGTTGGGAAGCAAGTACATAGCGTGTACAGTTTTTGCTTTTTTCAATGTAGGAGCAGCGTCGCAGTAGCGAAGTCTTTCGAGTCGTACTTAAATATTAAGCCGAAAAACGATCCCTTACTAACTACTGGTAGATTATTTTAATTTGGTTTAATTATGTCCTTTACTACTCATATTATCCTATGGTCTATCACGCATCGTTTTTTCTACAAAAAAGTATCAATCCTTACCAGCGACTGAATGTGTTCTCTCAGGCCCTGGAGCACTAGCTTCATAACCTTCCCGGAGTGTTGCTCTACCTCCAGGTTGCTGGAAAGCAAGAAGAAAGTATAAACAATCTACTTAAACATTGAAACAACAGGAACACTTAAAACAACCATTAATAAATATACTTACATTGTGCAATTGGTATTGTTATGCCAGTATTTTCGGTAAAAAATGATGTTAAAGAACATGCACCCCTTTTTTAAGGTCATATTTTAAGTTAACCCCTACCTACATTACTGATTAAAATAAAACTCAAATATCAACTTACAACTTGCGTCTGGGGTGCAGGAGCCCTAATTTGATGCTGCTGTTGAACTTGAGACCTTGGGCCCCAAGCAGAGGTAGATGGTTGTCCTGCAGGAACATGTCTAGGTGCTTGCTGATGATGTGGTAAACCTTGACTAGAAGGTCCAGGCCTTCCTCCTGTAGTAGGAGGTCTTTGGGAACCAGGTTGCTGTTCAGCAGAACCTCTCCCTCTTCCCCTGCCTCGACCTTTTCCTTTCTCCATTTAGATCTACAAAACATGTTTTAGGATAATCAGTTACTTCATCACAATGTAAATTGTAATTGTTTAAGTTTCGTGTACAGGGTTTTTGTATTTTTTTTTTCAGCATATGACTTACTTTTACGCACGCAGAATCAGATAATCATATATTTGGCTTTCACTATAAGAAAATATTTAACTATTTCAACTTATGATAGAATAGCACATAACAAAACTTAACAAATTACAAATGATCTTCACAACCAAAGAAAACGAAAAACCCTAACAGTGAGAGTTACTCTTCTTAATAACAAAATCAAGGACAACAATTCAAATAAAGACATTGTTGCCAAATATATCTTTTTTTTTTGAGAAAATTACTTTTAGTTGTCCACCTTTTTTAATACTTGTCACATTCATTAGATGCGTCTTTTTAACTGGACTCTTGAATTCGACATGCAAGACAAAAGACACAAATGCGACATAATAGATTTCAATGGTGCATTAATTTCGGCATCGACCTGTTGCATGGTACGTTCAATCAGATATTAGAAAAAAATAGTTTAAAAGACCGAGTTGCATTCAGGGCTGTAAAAGTTTATTTTCAGAAAAACTCATTAAGACTTAATGCAGCACTACTTTTTTTCAACTATTATATACTCAAGAGAAGAAGAAATGGTTACGACATTCAAAAAAAAATAATTGAAATTTTATAAGCCATTTTTAGAAATTAACCACAATCTCCTATTATCGAGAACATATTGGTATCATAAATTTAATAAATACTGAATATGTATGACTTCAAGTGAACCCGCAGAATGAATGGAATCATTATAAGACTAGACACATATTATGTACCTTGGCGAGTTTGTTTTGAGAAGATAAAGATATGAGGTAGTAAAATAATCGCTAGTGGCGTGTTCAGTGAGAATAAACAATATAAATATGTTCAAATGTAATTAAAAAATAGGCAGTACACCGACGAACTTTGTACATAAATGTAAACTGGTACTTCTATAAAAAAAATATTTAACTACTTAAGTTTTTAATTAAAAGAGGAAAGGGAAAACATCATAATAAACGTTTTAATTACACCGAGCGTGGATTGGCAATTCACGCGCCATGTAAAATGCCCTTTAGAGTCCCTAAGTATATGTGACCTACAGTACGAATCGGATTTAATTCGATCTTATGTAAACATTTTTGGGCAGACTTGATAAGTGGCGCGTTTCCTTTGACGTTATTTACTGAGGCCGGCCGCAAACGTACGGTTTTCACATTCGATTTCCTAATACGGAATTTCGGTGAATGATTCCGTGAGACAAGCGCAGACATTGGGTTTTTTGTATTAGGAATTTATACTACCAGTATGTAGAGCCATGCTGTCATGAAAGTATGTTTGATAACATGGACTAGGGACCTAGGGCGGCAGCAAGCTTAAATTCACCACTGAGTGGAGGTGTTCCGTGACAGGCTCGGCACGCGCCGTATCGCGGGCCGTGTAGTTACACCTTTAGACGCATCTAATAACTAAAAATTTTCAGTGCATAACAATCATAACGCTTCTTATTCTCGCTTTTTTATATCTGACTGAAAAGTAAATGAAAGACGCACCAAAATGTTTTTACTATCGCAAGCGCCGCAGATGGCGCTACTTGTACACGTGCAGCAAATGTATATTTATAAAAAATAGAACATTATTACTATTAGTTAACTTTTTAAAGTTCGATCCACAACCGAATAAATTTGAATAAATCTACGTACTAAATTATTTCAATTTTATTATTGTTTAATGACATTTTCCTTTTTTTTTTTTAAATCTGGACGATATTAGCAGCAATTATTTATTACACCTTATCTAAACGATAAGACGTTTATCTACCTATATTTTAGGTGTGATGTTTGAATAATATTTTCTATGTTAGTCATTCGTATGTTAAAAGTGTGAAGCAGCAGATAGGTGAAAATTTTCGTTTTTGACCTCATTGGTGTATTTGTTCATAGTAAACAAAATTGACTACGGTTTCAACTATGAAACAATAGTAAAAAATGCACGACACACATAACAAATTAAATGACCAAAGACAGTTGCAGTTGGACGGTGTGGTGTCAACTCTACCTGAACTTGGTGGTCCAACAATTCCCGATGGGGGATATGGCTGGGTCGTAGTTTTAGCCGCTTTGTTTTTCTATGTACGTAAATTTTTACAATAACGTTGAACTTTTTCAAATTAGGTAGGTCGAACACGCCAAACAAATCATATTACCTATGTGTCTGTGTCTCTGTATATATTTTTCATACCCATGTCAAAAATCTGTAGCAAAACTAGTTCTCAAAACCAGTTTATTTAGTACAACCCTTCTTAATATTTTTGGCATCATCTAAAATGATCAATTTTACAAATTTATCCGTGTGAAAATTTCCACTGGGAACTGCAAGAGTTATTATTAGAAGATTTTATATATTAACGAGTGATAAATATTTTTTACAATGCGGTTTATGCACCACGATGTATTTCAGAAATTGGATTATTGCAATGTCGTTTTTTTTAAGAGTTTTACAGTGAATGAATGAATTCTTGTCCCATAATCTAATTTAACATTAGAAATTGAATGTTTACTAAAAATAATGCTAAGGGAGTGTTAACACAGCATTTACAATTTTTATAGCACTTTTAAAAGCTGACCTAAACAAATTTCTTTACGCAACACACGCCGCCACTGGTAGCACTGAAGAGGAAATTGATATTTGCTCGGTTTTGCTTGCTCGTTAGTTGCCTAATAATAAAATACATACAACGTACTAAAAAATATTTACAACTTCTTAAAAAGATTAAACGTGGTGCCCCGAGTGGACTCGAAAAAAAATTGTGCAAAATTCTGAGATCGCCATTATGCTGGCGATAAAAGAAGGATACCAAACCAGGAATTGAAGTTTCCGGTTGCGGGTTTCACTTTGGCCAATGTCCGCTTGTTTCATAAATTTAATAAGAAACTGTCTTTTGTCCAACCTTACTAACGAAACTCAAATTTTGATTGCAAATTGACGAAAACAATTATTTTTATATCTCCCTAAAAAAATAATCATGTCGACGCCCCTGTTGAATCTCTACTCTTTGTGTTCTACAAATTCTACATAAAAGTTTATTTTTTTTTATAAGAATGAAAATCCATTTAAATTTAATTTTTTACTTTTCAGACTTTAGTGCCTAGCCTCATTGTAGGATTTGGAATAATGATGATATTTACTAGACTCGAAACCAATGCACCTGCTTCTCCGAAACTTTGGGACAACAAATTCATTTTTATGCCAATATTTTATACGGCTTTTACTATTCTTGCAGGTAAATGAATGTTTAAAACAGATAACTTTTCTTTTAAACACTTGTCAAAATCTAATGTACAATACCAAATGCAACATTAGCAATAGGACCTATATCTTTTTCAAATTTTCCACAATTACTGAACTTATATGCTCATATGTCCATTTGTAAGAAGTCAACATTTATCCACTGTAAGATAACCTTGACATACCTACCTATCAACCAATATTTAAGAAAGTGGACAGCATCCTAGCTTTTTAATTAAATTTGTATACTTAAATGTACCACTAAAAAAATAAGCCAAGTAATTACTAGGTAGGTATATCAACAAGTTAGGTGGCAGTACTAAAACTGTTGGAAAAAGAATATTTGGGTTTAACTGAAAATTATTACCAATCCCCTTATAGGTAGGTACAGTTTGAATTGCATAATAAAGTACGTTGGAGTTTATTAAAATTGTTAAGTAAAAAGATTTTTTTTACAATAGTCCATTCTTCTTAAAGCCAACTGATACTGTACAAATGCTTACACAGTAAACATATATGGGTGCTGTTGATGTTATACTTGAGTAAGCAAAATCAAACCCTTATCTCTACACAATTTCCGTTCTTTATATAAAAGAATCGTTTTTTAAATAACTGATACGATTATAAATAAATAGGAAAAAATCCGCATAATTTCTACGATATTACGAAGCATTTTACAATTACCTTACAATATATCTTAATAATTTTCCTTAGAACCGTGGGTTCGAAAATTTATAACACAAAGCACGTGGGCACGTCTCGTCGCAACAACCGGCACTTGTTTAATTTGTGCTGGTTTACTGCTCTCTTGGAAGGGAATAAACAACGCTTACAATGTTGCCACATTCATTTTCGCGGGAATTGTAACAGGTACGGGTCGTTTTAAAAAAGTTGAATAAAGCAAAAGCAAAAAATGTCACACTTGAATGAAATAAATACACTAGGGCATAAAAAATTACAAATTGTTCTTCAATCAACAGGTATCGGATCATCATTAGTAATAACTCAGTCTGAAGTGTTGGTAACACAGTATTTTCGATTAAAATTAAAAACTATTCGAGCAATATTTCAAATTGCAACTGCAATTGGATTTATTGTAACACCGATAACACTTGGCCACCACATAATAAAGAATGGTGTATTGCATGTTATAATATGGTACCAAGCAATAATTCTACAAGGAATAGTAATAAGTTTGGCTTTTAAAAAACCACAATATCTAAAATCTGAAAGAAAACCTTACAATATTATACGGGTGAAGTTAATAATAACTTTGTAAATACTAAATATTATTATTCTCTATATATTCAACGTTATAGAACGCTTCGGATGATGAAGATGATGTGTTGGCTACAAGAAAAACAGAACTAAAAGAGAAAAATAAAATGGGAAATCTTTCAGTCAATGATAGTGATTCTCCCGAAGCAAAAGCAGAATTACCAAGGACATCGGAAGTAAATCAAAGAAATGGTAACCAGACACCATCGAGTACTCAAAAAATCACTGCACGAGAAAACTGGGAAACTTTTGATGATAATGCCCCAAATCAATCAAAGATAAAAGTGGAACTTCACGAAACATTCGGCAGTTCAAGTGATATTGCTCGTAAAACTAACAATAATATTGTTACAAATTTGCCACAATCACTTTTTGAAGACAATAATGCAACGAACAGTACTTATTCCTACGAAAGTTTAGACGCAGTAGGTCACTTTGAAGATTTAAATACCATTTATACAATTTCAAATGTTACCCCGCAAGGAAAATGGTCGATTAGATTTGGAGATTTAAAGGAGCCAACGTTTTATAAATCGCTTTTACAAGTGATTACTACAAAATTTTCAACTTTTACTTTTTGGATCTTATTCCCCAGTTATTTTTACACTGAAGTGGAACACTTGTCAATACGAAATACAACTTTTATGATTAGCTGTGTAATTGGTGTTTCTATTTTGTTATTTACAATTGTTTCGAATTTTGTCAGCAACAACAACATCAAACATAAAGCTCTGTTTTGGTGGATTTTTAGCTGGGCGGGTGCCATTGGATATTTTAGTGAGTATTAAGTATAATAACAGAAAATTTTATTTTAACATTTTTAAAAGAATCGCATATTCTCAGGGTTATTTCTATTTATGAGATTGGTATTCGCCCTCTCACGGTAGACAGAGCAACTAATAAAAAAAAGCAATATACAAATATTAAATT